GGGGGGGGGGGGGGGGGGGGGAGGAGGTCATGTGTGGAACTTGTGCTCGCGCGCCCTCATGGACGCAAGCCCTGACTCTTCCTCTCGGCATGGTGCCCCGGAACTAGTACCTTGACGGGTGATACCGTTCGAGGTCAGCGCGGACGTCGATGGGGAGCCCGATGCAGAGCACAGTGGGCGGTTCTCTCCCGCTCTCCTGGCGCAGACCGTTGCAGGTTGCAGGACGTGGTGATGAGCAGGGCTATATAAGCTTGCATCTTCCCATAGCCACAGCTCATGCATCACCGTCACTCCGATCCTGCTAAGCTCCCCCTCCCTATCCTTACAGCACACTTGAAGTCAAAACCCAAGCTCCGTCTCTCCGCCTGTCAGAACAGAAGATGGTGTCTATCCTTGCGGTGGCCCTCGGGCTCTCTGCCGCTGCCGGGACCCTCGGGTCGCCGACGGTGCCCCTGGGACGGCGGGCGGGCCAGACGGCAACTGTCGTCATCCCCTCCCCGGATGCGACCGTGCTGGGGAATGTGATGAACGGCGTCGAGTCCTTTGGCGGGATCCCCTACGCCGAACCTCCCACCGGACAGCTGCGCCTGAAGCCCCCGAAGCGCCGGACCGAGCCCCTCGGGACCTTTGACGCCACCGGTCCGGCCGGGGCCTGCCCCCAGTTCCTCTCCTCGACAGAGAGCCAGGATTTCCTGTTCAAGCTGCTCGGCACTATTGCCAACCTGCCTTTTGTCCAGGAAGTCACGGGGCAGAGCGAGGACTGCCTCACCATCACCGTTGCCAGGCCCGAGGGTACCACCTCCGAGGACAAGCTCCCGGTCCTGTACTGGATCTTCGGTGGCGGATTCGAGGTAATGCCCAGCGTCGGTCGATCCGATCCCATCCGATCTGCTCATCCCCGCTTCTCATTCTTCTCCGTCTTTTAATGTTCATTTTTATAATTCTCAAACTGTTTCTTCCTCTGCCGAGCCGCTCATCGTTTCTGACCGATCTTGATAGCTCGGCTGGTCATCCATGTACGACGGTACGTCATTGGTCAACTACGGGGTCGAGATCGGACGCCCGTTCGTCTTCGTCGCCGTCAACTACCGCGTCGGCGGCTACGGATTCATGCCCGGCAAGGAGATCGAGCAGGAAGGTTCCGGCAACGCCGGGCTGCTGGACCAGCGCATGGGGCTGGAATGGGTTGCCGACAACATCGCCGCCTTCGGAGGCGACCCGGACAAGGTCACCATCTGGGGCGAGTCGGCCGGCTCGATCTCGGTGTACGCGCAGATGGCCCTCTTTGACGGCGACATCGAGTACGGCGGTAAGGCGCTCTTCCGAGGTGCCATCATGAGCTCCGGGTCCGCCGTGCCGACCAACCCCCTCTCCTCGGACCGCGGACAGGCCGTCTACGACCAGGTGGTCGACGCCGGCGGCTGCGCCGGCGCCGACGACACGCTCGCCTGCCTCCGGGCCCTCAGCGCCGAGGACTTCCTCAGCGCCACGACTGCGGTGCCCCACCTCCTCTCCTACTCCTCGCTGGCGCTCTCGTACGTGCCCCGGCCGGACGGCCGCACCCTGACGGACTCGATGGACGCCCTCGTGCTGGCGAACAAGTACGCTCCCGTGCCCATGATCGTCGGCGACTGCGAGGACGAGGGGACGCTCTTCGCCCTCTTCCAGCCCAACCTGACCACGCCGGCCGAGCTGGCCGACTACCTCCACCAGTACTACTTCGGGGCCGCCACCCCGGCGCTCCTGGAGGATCTGATCGCCACCTACGGGACCGGCATCGCGGCCGTGACGGACAACAGCCCGTTCGGCACAGGCCTGCTCAACGAGGTCTTCCCCGGCTTCAAGCAGCGGGCGGCCATCCTGGGCGACCTCGTCTTCACCCTGACCAGACGGCTGTTCCTCACCGTCACCGCCGGCGTCAACCCGGACACCCCCTCGTGGTCGTACCTGCTGTCGCAGAACAAGGGGACGCCCATCCTCGGGACCTTCCACGCCTCCGACCTCCTGCAGGTCTTCTACGGCGTCAACGACAACTACGCCGCCAAGAGCATGCGCTCCTACTTCATCAACTTTGTCTACTCGCTCGACCCGAACGGGGACGGCGACACCGGCTTCCCCGACTGGCCGAGGTGGGACGAGGCCCACGAGATGGCCCACGTCTCGGCGGGCAGCTCCTCCATCCTGGCCGACAACTTTAGGGAGGACAGCTACAACTGGATAGTGGATAACCTGGCTATTCTGCGCCTCTAGGTCGACATGTCTTGGGGGGGGGGGCTAGCTATCAGGTTAGCACCGAACTTTGAGGGTTCGATCATGCAGATCTGTCCCGGGAGAGAAGAAGACTATCGCTGGTGATGCAGTGGCGGAGCCAACCTTATCGTCCCACCTTGCATTGTCCGCTGCCCGTTGTCCGTCGTGAGCTTTGCGATGTGAGACGCTACAGTTTGGATACGGCATGGCATGAGATGGAGGTGAGGAGATGCAACTACTCCATCCGCATTAGTCCCGTGCACAGCCCGGCACGGCAGTTCGTGCTGCTTGCCAATATACTACTGCTACTATTACTACTACTATTACCACTACCACTACTAGTAATAATTGTAATGATACATGGTTGTCGGGTCGGCACCGGCGCAGCGCCATGCAAGTCTAAGAGGAACTAGATTGTGGGGATGCGGGGTGCGTGATCTGGGGATATTGTCATCCTTATTATTCTCATTATTCTTATTAGTAGAAAGTATAATCAATACACCTCGGCCTTTGTCTTGCCAAGTTGAATAGAAGCGCAAGGCCCACTCTTGACTGCATCACGAGCATCATCACTGTCGTGTACTGGGCAGTAGCTCGAAAGGTTGACGGAGGAGTAGCTCGGCCACTCGGGCTATCCGCAATATCGCGACTGCGCGCTTTGCTATAGTCGAAGGCTTAACATAGGACATCCTCCCATGCAACGTCGCCTTGTCCATCGGCATCCCGACATTATTCAGACCGGAGGCAGCCGAAGGTGATACACGTGCAGCGGCAGATGTGCGGGGTGGAAGACGCACGTACACGAGTAATATTGCGGGGAATAATAAGAGTCTCTCGAGACCTCTTTGGCCTCGGTATGTAACCTGGAAAGACGACAGTTCTCATTACACGTGCAAGCCCAGACCACGCAGCTTCGACCACGGGGCATCTGCGGTAGATTATGATGACCGATGTGTGTGCTGAAGCGAGGGACGGCACGGGGTCGATGATGGACCTGCTCTGCCCCGTCCCTCCTGGCCGAGGCTGCACGAGTACGTCAGGCATCCTTTCCCCGAGTTCGATCCCGTTATAACCGGTATTGATTCCAAAGGACGGCAGCACCGGTCTGGGCGTGATATATCATGTATGCCACCCCCCCCCCCCTCCCCCAAGGGCCTCTTGGGTAGTCTCATGACCCCACTGCGCCGTCCAGAGTCCCCAAAAGAGGAGCTATAGCCCGAGATGTATGATGCAGGAGAAGCTGGTGGGCCGTCTCAAGGCATGAAGAGCGGAAGAGAGAGGAAGGAAAGAAGAAGGAGAAAAGAAGAGAAAAGGATGGGGGAAAAAAATGCAGCTGGGTTGATATACGAGGTCAATACATGCGTGTAAGTGGAGATGATATCGGGCAAAGAAAAAAAAATGGAGGGGACGATTGATAGCAACACCCAATGCCAATGGTGGCCCGTGGGTTCTATGCAGGGAGCTGTCTCCCATCACCTTGTTGATAGGCATGAATACAGGATGTCGATACAGGCATTATTGTGGTAGGTAAGATTACCAGGTAATATCGATAATATAAAACTAGAAGCGTAGCGTCAGACGCCGGGGTTGGGATAGACTCGAAATTGCGGATGGACTGCCAAACCCCACTGAACGGACTCTCGTATTCGCCATATCCCGGTATTGATATCTGTTGCGGGAGAGATCAGTACGGTATCGTGTGTCCGTATTACATCGTCACCTGAAGGCCGATGCAGACCGCGGAGGAGGGAGTTCAATCGACGTCGTACATGGCATGACCCGACGCCGTAGCCGCATGCCAGACCCCTGGGTGAGCGTGGACGATGCCAATCGCTGTCCTACTCGTGGTGATATCATGGAATGAATGCATAGATGCGGTGTCCCCCATCGTTCGAGGTCGACCGTATAATGATATCGCTGAGAAGAGTGAGCCTCGCACATTGACCGTCGATGTCGACCAGAGCGATATGATGCCATCACCCGGTGCGCTGTAGATTGTGATGATGTATTGGCATATATCATTACCATGCGCAACCCGACACGATACGAGTACGAGAGGAAGAAAACCATTACCGCTATCACGCTGCGTAGCCGAGCTTGAACCTGGCCTTCGGGCTCTAGCGCTTACTCTCGACGCAAACCCCTTGCATTCCAATATCAGCGAATGCTCCCGATTCATATCCGCTCATCACTTGAAAAGTCCGATGACGACGATGCGGGGGTCCTTTTTTTTTTTTGGGGGGGGGGGAGGGAGGGATGAGGGATGAAGGACGTGCGAACACTTGCTAATACATCACACGGTAATGGTAATGATGTTGTTATAATGGTACTCGCCCACACACTCACATTGGCCCTGACAGGTTTCCATCGCTTCAACTCCGTTGCTGTCAGGAGAAAGCTGATCTCGGTTATCCAAGGTTGGCGTCCGCCCAGATCCAAGTCATGGTCTTCCCTATATCGTTCAGGAGAGCCCTGTGGGCGTCCGCTGCTGCCCTCGGCGCCGCGGCTGCCGCGGACCCGACCGCGTCGACGACGGGAGCGTGCGACGAGCTCGCGTCCTCCCTGCCGGACCGCGTCTGGACGGAGCCGTCGGTCGAGTACTTGTCCGAGTCCAACGCGTACTGGTCCACGGCGCTGCGCGGCCTCAAGCCGGCCTGCATCGTCCTGCCCCGGTCCGTCGAGGAGGTCTCCGTCGCCGTCAAGGTGCTCGGCAGCCACCCCGACGTCCAGTTCGCCGTCAAGAGCGGCGGGCACACGCCCAACCAGCGGCACTCGACCGTCCTGGACGGTGTCCTGATCTCCACCAAGCATCTCTCCGGCGTCACCTATCGCCCGGATGAGCAGCTGGCCTACGTCAAGCCCGGAGGTGATTGGAACGACGTCATCGGCTCACTCGAGGAGCACGGCGTGACTATTGTCGGTGGACGTCTGGGTATGTCTCCCCCCCCCCCCCCCCTTACCAATCTCATGTACTTTCATCAAGTACTCTATATATCCTACCCTTGTGGTATTTGGGAGGAGTTTCTCTCTCAATACTTCTTTCCTCATTCTGATCAGAAAAAAAAAAAAAAGAAAAAAGCCTGCTGACACGCCCCAAGGTATTGTCGGTGTAGCTGGCTACCTATTACAGGGAGGCATTTCCTTCCTATCGGCCCAGTATGGCCTGGCTGCAGACGTATGCCAGGATCAAAATCCTGCCCATTCTTCCGGGACGGTAGGCTGACATGTTGACGAATATACATACATCTCCGTCAAATCCACAGAACATCGTAGCCTGGGAAATGGTCGCCGCCAATGGCACAATCCTCAACGTCAAGGCATCCGAGAATCCAGACTTGGCTGTCGCCCTGAGAGGAAGCGGCAGCCAGCTAGGTAATATGATTGTTACTACGTCTCTTTCTTCTACTTCATTTTCCCTTCTATCTTCCTTCTTTGAATCTTTTTCTTCGATATCTGATTCATCTTATATATATATATACATCTCCCCCCTCCCTCTTCCAGCACAGCTCCCTCCTTAGCCGTCAAATGCTGATCATACAACTTTCCCTCCCCCCCAAGGCATCGTCACCCAGTTCACCGTCAAGACGCACGAGATCGGTCAGGTCTGGGGTGGCCTGCGAACATACGGAGACGACAAGGCCGATGAGATCTTCGCCGCTCTGCACGGTTACGTGCCCGGCGGTGTCGAGGATACCAAGTCGGCCATCATCCTCACCAACACCATGACAGCCGGGGTCACCAAGTCCTTCATCATCTACTACTTCTACGACGGTCCCGAGCCGCCCACCACCGGCGCATTCGCCAAGTTCCTAGACATCGACTCCGTCATAGACGTCACCTCGACACGCTCTTATTCCGACCTGGTACCTACACTCCCGCACACACTCCCACACCGTGATACCCATCGTACCGGCTTGCTTTATCTCTGACATGTGCTCCAGTTGAATGCCAACGGTGCGGCTGCCGAGCTTCTCGTCTCCCGCATTTCTTTCAGGGTAAGGCCCCACCCCCCCAGATCTGCTTCTTCGTCCAGACCTGATATACCGGCGCACAGACATACACCATCCCCTACCTCCCAGACGTACCGGGCATGTTTTCCGAGATATCGGAAAAGTTCTCGTCCCTCTTGGCCGACCATCTCTCCTCGCGCCCCACGGCCCTGTGCTCGGCCGACTTCCAGCCCTTCCCGTCCGTCATCGGTCAGCACAGCCAGGACAGCGGAGGCAACGCCATGGGAATCTCCGGCCGCGACCCTCACCGCATCATCCTGGAGCTCCAGTGCGCCTGGGACTCGGAGACCGACGACGACATCTTCCAGGGAGCCTCGAGGGACATGGTCCGGTGGCTGGAGGCTAAGGTAGCCGACTGGACTTTTGACGGCGAGGAACCCTACCTCCCGCTCTTCATGAACGACGCTGCCTGGGACCAGAACGTCACCGGGACCTACAGCCGCTACGCCGAGTTTAAGCAGATCCAGAAGGCTGTCGACCCCACAGGTTTCTTCCCGACCAGGGGGGGAGGTTTCGTGTACTGATGGGACTGTCGGGTAGCTGTTCGTCACCGTCTTATCGCTCTTTTTTTTATATTTAGGGGGGGGGGGGGGGGGGGGGGGGTTTTTTTTTTTTTTTTTTTTTTTTTTTTTGGTTGGGGGGGGGGGGGGGGGGGGGGGGGGGGGGGGTTTTTTTTTTTTGTGTGTGTACACGACAAGTATTCTTACCACTCGGCAACCTTCTTCATACTTCTCAATTCATCATGTATCCAGTTCTACCCTACAAGTCTAGTATCACATCTTTTCCATCGTGAAAACTTCATGAAATCATAGACAGCTACAGCCTGGCAAGCACTTCCCTAAACAGCACCCGTCAGCACATTTTCCTCTCCATCACGATCTTTCCCTCTCAACAGCCTGTGGGGGAGCGTCTCGAACTCACTCTTGCTTGCCGCTGCAGCAGCTGCCCTTATCCTCAAAGGCCAGCTGGCTGACCTTGTCCGTGGCATCCAGGACACCCCGTCCGTTGGCGGCGATCTGGCTAGGCGTGCTGGCGAAGCTGGGAGGCACGTCCATGACGGGGTTGTTGAGGAAGAAGTTGCGCGGCCTGAGGAGCAGCGTCATGGGCTCGGCTGGCATGATGGGGAAGTCCTCCGGAGAGGGTATGTGCGTGACGCCAAACGTGTGCCAGAGTACAATGTCGGTGTTGTCGATTGATGTCTTACCATCGCCGACCCACTCGGTGATGCCGTGCGAGGGCTCGCCCGACGTCTGGGGAACGTGTCGGCCAGCAGGCCACAATTCGTCGTCGCGGTCTATCGTTTTTATTTTAATTTAGCATGCCTCATCAGCACAGCGTCTTATCCGAAGAGGGACCGAGGGAAGAGGAGTGGCATACATCTTGTCACCTGGACGGCATGACGGGCAAAGGCAGCCCTCTTCCATACCAGGGAACCCTCCTTGGGCAGCAGACCGGGGATTTCGCGGCTGACGAGCTTGTAGCTAGCCGGCTTGCCGCTGTAGGGGTGGATGTTGTTGGTATTGCAGATCTCCCATGTGCGTCCCCTGGCACCGTCGTAGTCGGTGCGGGACTCGCCCTCGGTGGCCAGCTTGGTGCGTTTCACGCCAAAGGCGTTTCCGTAGTAGTTCTCGGGGCTGCCTACGGGAGCGTCCGATGCCACCGTGTCGGAAACGAAGACGGTGTTCTGGGGGCCGTCGACGTTGGCGTGCAGACGCAGGCAGAAGAGGTGCTGGTGGTTGTGGGCATTGACCCCAGGGTACACCTGCGTGCCCCAGCCGTGCGTGTCCTCGCCCGGGTTCATGATGTACGTGTTGAGGATGCCGGTGAGCTTGATGTTGGGCTGAATGGTACCATCTTGCTATCGGGGGAATCAGCGCCTACATCCATGGAGTGCGTAGGTCTTGAAGAGAAGGAAGGGGGGGGGGGGGGGGGGGGGGGAGAGGGGAGCTCTTACGTGGAAGGTCCACTGGATGGCATACTCATAGTTGGCAGCAGTAAAGACCTGCTGGATGATGAGCTTGCGGGCACGCGTGACAATGCTCGAGTCGTCCCTGAAATCGGTGTGCTTGAAGAGGATGCCGTCGTCCTCCTCGTGGATGCAGATGGCGTTCTTGATATGACGGATGGAGCCGTCGCGCGTGGGGAACTCAGCGTCGAGGTAGTGGATGGAGCCCTTGCAGTCGCAGCCAAGCGACAGGCTGTTGGTCAGGTATCCCGCGCCGTACTCGCCCAGGTCGAAGGCGTGCTTGCGCTGGTGAGGGTGCTCAGGGTTGCCGTAGGGGACCACCATCTCCGCCAGGGACATGCGGTAGAAGATGGGGCGGACGTTGCCTCTGTCGTCGTAGCGGATGTTGTTGAGCACGATCCCCTCACGGTAGTTGAAGCCAATGTGCATCTTCCAGTTTTGCCACTCAATCTCGCGGCCGCTGAGTCTGAACGACACACCCTCGGGCTGCGTGATGTTGATGGGCCTGAGATCGGTCCTGTAGCCGCCCGACTGCTGACGCACCGCCTCCGGGTGGTAGTTGATGGCCTTGACATCCCTGCGCAGCGGCCGACGCACTTTGGGAACGTCAATGGCGATGATCTCTCCCTTGTTGGAGTCGTAGATGGGGCAGAAGTCCAGGGGGAACTGGTACTGGCAGTCGTCCACGTTGGGACGGTAGTACATGAGCGCCTGCTGCAGCCGGACGTTGTTGCCAAACCGAGCATCGTGTCCAATCGTCCACGGGTCACAGTACACCTTGTGCATTTCATCGCGAGAGACACCGCTGATCTCGCATTGCTCAATGACCCTGGGGTCCACGCGGACCTTCTCCTCCACAATCGCCAGCTCCTCCATGGTAATCTTCATTATTTCCTAGGTTAGTCAAGGAACTTTCTTTCGAGAGGGATCGAGACCATGCAAGATGGGGCTCACAATGGGCTGGACTCCCGTAAGCTGCGTCCAGGACGTGATCTTGCCGCTAGCCAGGTCCACCAGGCCGTCAAACACCTTGCCTTCCTGCGCAATGACTGTGACGTCGGCCACGCGTGCCGGACGGGGAGCTGTCACTTCGTTGGCCAGCCACCTTTCCATCTCGGCCTTGCGCGGCTCGAAGAGAGTCACAGCCTGGTATAGCAGCTCGCCGTGTTGCTTCTTCACCACATCGATGGCGGCGGCGATCTCCTCGCCCGAGAGCGGGTCAAACGGGTGGGGGGCCATTGTCGTTCCTGCGCTGTGCCGTGCTGCTATTGCTTCTCCTGGCGATGGGGGAAACAAAAAAATCCTGCCCGTTGGGCTGAAGTCAGTCGCAATGATGGAGGGAATGGTATGATGAAGAGCAAGTTGAAGCCTGAAGTCCCCGTGGGTGTTATATATCCATCCACCTAGGCAAGCCTGATAAGATGTGCAATGAAGAGCAGCATGCATCAGGGCCGTGTGGGGTCCTCTTTTGCCAACGCGGCAACCCGCGGGAGCCCACTAGATCGTATCATTGGTCCCTAATGGGTAACTTTTTGCGTCCACTCGTCCGACTGTCGTCTAGAGAGATTCGCTCTCCCCTCACCGTCCCCGCATTCAATCATATCAAGACGTAATGATAAGCCGCGTTGAGCGATCCACGAAAGGCGCTGATAAGAGGCTCCGGACTTGTTCCGCGTATCCGTACAATCGTCAATCGCACACTGCGGACACAGGGCACCCTGGTAAGGCATTGCCATCCACTGCAATCTGCGATTTCTGCATCTGGCAAAGGAGCGGTGGTTAGTACGAGTAAGGCTGGCACTCCCCAAAGAGGAAATTTTACTCGATGCTGCCATCCATATCAGCGCTGGTTCGAATCTTCTGCCATTGGCCAATAGCTGTGTCCGTGTGCTGGAACAAGCCATCTTTAGCCGGTGGGAGGGTCGGAATCCCCCAGTCTCAGAATGCTTATGCTCATGTTTTGATATTTCGTTCCTCCCCCCCCCCCCCCCCCCACCTCTCTCTCTCTCTCTCTCCATATGCAGATGGTGATGACGCTTTTTTTCTCCGACGAAATGGGATGACAGCAGACACCAGATGGTGCTTGTCCGTCTCTGTCGTAATCGGTGTGTTTAGTGGGGACCTCGTCTTCAGTGAGACCAAGATCCCGTCATCACCTTCATCAGACAGCTTTGCTATCAGACTCGATTCTCTCGACTGGTCGTGTGTGACACTTCAATTGCATTCCCATCGCGATCCTGCTGCGCGAGACGCCGAGGCTGCAGCGTCGCAGGTCCATCATGCCATCGGCGCCAGTTCATCTCCTGTGGTACTACATACCGGGCCAGACACACAAGGTCGAATGACACAAAATCATCAGGATCGTCATCATGCCCAGCCATCCAGGTCGAATATTCCTGGAAATACGAGAAGCTCATCTGCACCCAGTGAGGTGCTTCCAGCTGCCGCCGCCGCAGCGTCGACACCAGCACCGGTCCCCTCTGTTCCGTATAGCTGTGTTGTGAAGGGGAGCTCAAAGGTAGCCGATCCCAGAGGAATGTTGGCAAACTGCTGTCTTTCAGACGGTATCCCCGCTTGCGGTAGCTGTGATGGCATTGAGGGTTTCCCCTCTCGTGTCGTCGTCGGCGTTTCCCTCCTCAATGGTGCTGGCGCGGCAGCTGCCGCTAAGATTGACCGTCGGGGCGACCGCTTGTTATGCAAGCGGGGAAAATCGTCAGTGATCATCTCTTCAATCATACGCATGATTGACCGATGAACAATGAATGAGCGCATCTTGGGAAGCATCTCGCGGATGGCAACCGCCGACGTGTCCGATATCCGGGTCGGAGGCCTGCTCGGCCGATCAATCAGTGGTACTTCTCGAGCCAGGAGCTCAAAGACATCTCGCAAGCAGTCAGCCTTTGGCCAACGGTCAGCCATGATGGCCAGTATGTTTGAGCAAGCCCGCAAAGCATCCGACACATCAGGTGAGTCGTAGTTTTCTGTGCGATATTCGGGCGGCGTGGCCCAGCAACAGTAGAGCAAGGTGACACCGGATTGGAATTGCACCAAGAGCTGCAAATCAGTCAGTAAAATGTCTGCAAAGGGAATGCGTATTGGAACAGGTGAGGGGCGGCGGGTAATGAAGATGACCATACCCCAACCCAGCCTTGGGCAATCTGGCGGTCCATCTGGCTCCTCCGGAAGATGAGACAGGCCTGGCTACTAGCCTGGATTGCCCAGTCACCTGCCGCACCCATCACATTCGCCTTGGTAGGGCGATAGAGCAGAAGAAGAGTGTAGTGATATATCATGCCGAGCCACCTCTGCGATGCGTGTCCCTTGGACTCGGGGTTTGAGAAATTCTGAACGCGTGACTTGTAGCCTTGCAGCTCGTTGAGGATCCTAACGCGCCACTCCGAAGACTCCTCATAGTTCTCCCTGTAGTCGTACCGGAGAGTATAGCCAGATATCTCTGACTGGATCCGACGGCATTGAAGGACGTAGAGGGAAGGCGACACGCACGTGTACACCGGGGCATCGGGCATCTCCTCACCGACGGGAGTGCTGGCGGCCACTGCCTCCAGGTCTTCATCGTCAATATTGTTGTATAACTTGGTGCTGATCATGGAGTCGGACAGGGACGGGGGTAGCTCAAAGGAGGCCACAATGAGGCGGTCTATGCAGTAGGCTGACCAGAAACATCGGCGTCGGATCTGGTTCTTCAGCCTGGTTGTCGGCGTAGTCGGCACAGGTTCCATCTCGGCGAGGTGTAGCTGCTGCTGGACGCAGAAGCGCAAAGTTGTCGATGATAACGATAGGATGCGCGGCGTCGAGCTTCGGTGAAGCGAATTGATGCTCAAGAGGAGATGCGCCTGAACGTGGAGAATCTCGTCTTTGCATCGAAAAACATGAGGAAGGAGACTTAAGCCACTCCGGTAAAATGACCGTGCGTCCGACTGGCCAACACGCGGCACGGCCAGGAGAAGTAGAGCCGTGGCGTAGACGAGGTTGACGAAGAAGCCTTGCCAGGCCCGGGATGCTAACTCGGACGGTGGGCATGTCTTCCACCCTGATACCCACGTCAGAAATGTACTCCAGTGGAAAAAAGGGTACTGCGCCTGGGCTCTATCGCGGTATGCCCCGAGTAACAGGTCATCAATCTCCGGCGGAATGATTGCCGCAAGGCTGTGGGCGACGGATGCGTCGCTATCCCGAGACTTTGACAGCGGCATAGAGGGGACCGAATCAGACGGCGGCGGGAAGGAATTGCTTCCATCATCGCGGGCTGATGGCGATGTGACGACGCCAAACAGGAGGTGGTCGAGACCCGAATCCGAGTCGTCGTCCTGCAGAGGTAAGGCGGCTGTGGCTCCGGGCGAGTGCTGAGACGAAAATCTGCGTTGCGCTTGCGCTATGCTTGTCGGAGAGATGGAGTTGGTGCTAGCCGAGCAGGCAAAATCCACAGCGGCATCTGAAAGCCTGTGGCGGAGCATTTCCTCTGCCGCAGCGTGCATTTGGGAGCTCGGCGCCCTCGAGACTCTTTTTCTCAGTCGCAATCCATCAACGCCCTCGTGATGACTGCTGCCCCGCCGATGTCGCGATACAGCTCTGGCATCGTTGGCAGCAGCAGAGAGCATGTGGTCCTGGCTCTGTCCCGGGTCGTGCGCCTCAAGCTCGGCGATACGCTCCTCCAGAGCGCGCACATACTCGCCCTCGACGTGTGGCCGAGGCGCGGGGTCCATCGGGATGCACTCATCGCCTGATCTGACACAGTTGGCGCACGGTCGCTGGCTCTCACACCTTTGCTTGCGTCCTCTACAGCGCCTGAATCATTTGCTCATTGCGGTCAGCTTGGGGATCGTCGGTATCGTGAGCGGCCTTTGTTGCTCTGCTGCGCCGATAGGCCACCACATGTACACACACCTGCAAGCGAGAACGCGTTGCCTCTTCTGTGGGGGTTCATCCCCAGAGGATGACTGACTATCATGTTCCATCGGGGTCTTGTTTGCCAGACGAGGCGTAGCACATCTGTAGGGTCATTCCAACGTCTTTGGATGCAATACTCCCCTCCTTCCCAGAATGACGAGAGCGAGGTGATAGAGTGATGTTACGAGGGAAGGAACCGCTCGAGCTCTAAAGCGTTGGTGACGGGGGTTCCTTCTCGCTAATGCATGTAATACGTTTGCTATTGATGGCAGGGGCCGAATGGGGAATGGCGTTGGCCTCCCCTGGTCAACCAGCTCCTTCCTTGTTATCAACGAGCACGGGGATGCATATATGAGATTGAATGCATATAGACAGTCCACATACTACTGATCGCGTGCGAGTTTTGCTACTAATATATCATCACACTCTGGACATGTGTGAGGGTGGTAGAGGCGACATCTTAAGGGCTCGGGTCCATACATGTTCGGCAATTTACGCCCAGAGTCAAGGTGGATTTGGAATTGAAGTTCGACTGTTTGTATGTATCACTCGTCGATGATGCACGTCTTGAGTTATGGCAAAGTATGCCTGTAAGCGTGTATGCAGATACACATACACATATGCAAAACGCCTCTATCTAACGCGTCTCTCCGGGGGCGGCTTCGCCTTCTCCACAACCTCCTCACCCGAGATCGTCTCGAAGAAGGCATCGGCCAGGTATCCTCCACACCAGCTGAGCTTTTCAAACCCATCCGATATGGGCTTCATTGACAAGGCGGGTCCTTGGACATCGCGCACATAGCCGGCAATTGCTTCAGTGGACCAGAGCTTGGCAAAGTCGCTGGCAGCCATGTGCAGGCCCTGGAGACTCCAGATGGGCTGGACCTGCCAGACGACACCCATCTTAGCCAGGTCCCAGGGGAGCGTCTCGACTTGCTTCGGGGTGAATCCGGCCTTGGCGAAGTCGTAGTCACCCGTGTAGCCGAAAGCAAACAGGCGTTCGGGTAAAACCTTGCGGACCTCGGTGTGAAACTCCACCAGGTCCTTCCAGACGGGGGCATCCATCCGCGCCCAGGTGACGTCTCCTAGAGGCGCGGCGAGGATGGCGCGCTCGATGACGGCCTGCACGTTCGAACTGAACATGTACTGTCCCATAGATGAGCGGGGAAGCTCCCAGTCAAAGAAGACTTCAGCTTTGACTGTCTTGGAAGCAACCTCTCGCCTGGTGGAGAGGGAAGGGGAGGTCTCCTTTCCCAGCTCGGATCTGTACTTGGCATACTCGGCATCAGAAGCAAGAGCCTCAACAGCCTGGTCAAAGGTCTGGAGTCTGGCCTTCTCCTTCCACCCGTCCCTCGCAGCTCTTAGGTCCTTGCCCTCGGCGAGGGCCTTGTCAAGGCACGTCCTCAGAGGTTCGATCTTGACGGTAGCACCGAGAACGTACTTGTGGTCGCGCTCGTCAATGACACTGGTAATGAACTCGGAGTGGTCCGTGTCGCAGCGACACAGGAGCATCGTCTCCGTGCCCATGATATCAAACTGCATGCGGACGGCGCGCAGACGGTCAAGGTACTCGCTGGTGGGCACCACGGTCCGACCCTGGCCAACGGTGAACTTCTTCATGCCGATGGCCAGGTCATCGATATGGATCATGGCCACACCGGCCTCGACGAACTCCTTGGCCATCTTCATGGTAGTGGTTAGGCTACCGAAGCCCATGTCACCGTCGGCCACGATGGGCGCCATGTAATCCCAGTTCTCGAAACCCTCGCGGTCCGCCTTGGCGTGTCGGAATCGGAACTGGCGTTGCCTCTGGTCATGCCACACTTGGGACTTGAAGATCTTGGACACCACCTTGGGCACCGTGTCCCATGGATAGTCGGCGTGGTCCATGCCAGGAATGGCCACCTCGGAAAATCCGCACAGCGCACCCGACACGTAGACTGTCTGCTGATGCTTGGCCATCTGCGATGCGACCGTGGGCTCCGTGGTGCCAAATGTAAGCTCGGTGGTGCCATTCTTGCTGTGCTCGTTCAGCTGGTCCCAGAGCTTGAGCGCCTGAGTGGAAGAAGCCCGCGGGATGCTGTCGGTCGAGCCTCGGAGTGCCGCGATGGTAGGCGCACTGTACGGTCTAATGTTGCAAGAACCGCGATACGTCAGCAAGAAAGATCTCTCGAGTGTCGATGTGGCGGCGAATCGGATCATCTGCTTACCTCTTCAGATGCGCCTGGCGAGGAGAACTCCATTGCTTCTCGATGGCAGCAACTTGCGCGTCAAACTGTTCCTGCTCCTCATCAAGCGAGAGAGTGAGGCGGGGCATTTTGACAGCGTAAAAAACAACAATAGTCTATATATGCGTGAGATCGTATCCTCGTAGTATAACGAAGTCTCGGAGAAGAAGGTAAGAGATGTTTCTGGTTCGCGTTTGGGGAGAAGCCAGGTTAACATGTACTTCCTCAGTGTACGTGCTTCCTCCTCCGGACAAGCACTTTTTTTCTCTAAATCTCCCCCTCATGCTCCCCTTCGCCCTCCTCTCCCGCCTCATCAATAATCACGACTTTATCGCGATGTCGCATCAACGACGGAGAATTGCAGTCGTCAATTCCACTCCAGAGTCCGAAGGGTCGGCGTCGCACATGCACGTCCGATCGACCCCTGTCTCGGCAAATGTGGAACCCCCGTACCACCCGGAGATCAAGTTCCGCTTGTCCCACCACCACCACCACCACCACCACCACCACCCGCACGTCGATGTCAGGGTGGGGGGGGGGGAAGGGGGGGAGGCAATTGACTATCGACAGCAAAGGTCACGCTGTACCTGACGTTCAATTCTCAAGGAGCCTCTCCTACCACATTTGAGGGCTTGCCGAGAAGTCCGTCGAGCGGGCTTTCTTACGGCCGTTGCCATAAGAGGGGACGATCACGACAGCCACCAGGAAAGGTCAATCATAGCACGACTCACTCTGCAACGGCTCGGCCGCCATGGAAAAACACATCAATCTCCAGCTGGGCTGGCCATCGCCCTCGCTCTTCCCCAATACGCAGTTACTCGACGGAGCCTCTGGCGTGCTGCAATCGGACAGGAGGACGGCCTCGGCGCTCATATACGGGCCCAGCGCCGGCTTCCTCCCTCTGAGGGAGAGGATTGCCGCCTGGCTCGACGAATTCTACCGGCCAAGTGAGAGGATATCGTCCGAGCGCATATGCGTCACCAACGGAGCCTCGGCCAACCTGGGAAACATACTGGCCAAATTCACGGAGCCGGGATATACAAGAAACGTCTGGATGGTTGAGCCGAGCTACTTTCTCGCTTGTCCCATCTTTACCGACAATGGCTTCGAGGGCCGGCTTCGCGGGATTCCCGAGGATGACGAGGGGCTCGATATCGCCTTCCTCCGCACAGCCCTGGAGTCCGTCGAAGCTGAGAGCAACCACCCCGCAAAGCCGGCGGTGAAGACATCGGCGCGGTATCCCCACCTGTACAAGCATGTCATCTACGCCACCCCGACTTTTTCCAATCCCAGCTCCAAGACCATGTCTCTGGGCCGCAGGGAGGAGCTCGTGCGGCTTGCACGCGATTTCGACGCCATAGTCGTGACCGACGATGTGTACGACGTCCTTCGCTGGCCCTCGTCCCCCTCGGACAGGTCAGAACTGCCGCCCACGCCGCCCCGGATCGTTGACGTTGACGGGATACTAGACGGCGGCCCCAGGCATGACTGGGGCAATGCAGTCAGTAACGGGTCGTTCTCCAAGATAATCGGTCCCGGCGTGAGGACAGGTTGGGCCGAAGGGACTCCTTCCTTTGTCCTGGGCTTAGCGAGCGTCGGTTCCACAGGCTCCGGGGGCTGCCCGACACACCTTGCAGCCACTTTTGTCGAGGACATGCTCTCCACGGGGAAGCTCCAGGCTCACATCCGTGACAAGCTCATCCCCACCTACCGCTCACGATACAATGTCCTTCTGAGCGCGGTGGAGCGTCTCCTCGTCCCGCTGGGATTCACCATCTCTACGGGGACACCATACAGGTATCAGCAGCCTAGCACCGACGGCATCGATAGAAACGACGGAGGTGGAGAGAGCAGTGCGACTGACGTCGCCGGTGGCTACTTCATCTACGTCAACATACCGACCGACATGCCTATCGGCGCCGACGAGATGGCTGCTCTAGGCCTCGAAAAGTACAATCTCAAGTTTGCCTTTGGAGGTATGATGGTCGTCGAGGGTGACAGGGGAAGCACGGAGAGAGCCTCGACAGGGTTCGGCCGGGCCATCCGTCTCACGTGGGCGTGGCATACGGAGGATGAGATTGCCGAGGGCATCGAGAGGATTGCCACCCTGGTCAGAGATTACAGAGGCATATGAGGGGCACCACGATGCGAATATGGCCCGTAGCAATGCTATGTATCCAATGAAGCAACGAGAGAAGACGAGCGTATGAAAAATCAATATATTGCCATCTATGTACTCGGGGGACGATGCATGTATATGTGAAGAAATGCATATCCGGATCAGGAAGGGGAGAGTGACGACCCTGTCACGAGGTCGGTAAGATCATGCCATCTCAGCAGGTGGCGTGGGCAGCAACGCCTCGGCCTTATCCTCGAGATCACGCCCCTCGATCAGGAAACGCACGACCATGTCAGCGGCGGCGTCGGAGTCGTCGTCGGCGTCGATGGCGTCAAGGGCGTCTCGGAGAAAGGCCGGATCCCACTCGGTGCCGAAGGCCTTTGCCGTCTCGGTGTTGACGAAGGAGTCAAACTCAAAGTGGCCCTGGTACGTGAGGACCCGACCGGGCAGGTAGACGCCCTGGACTCGGCAGTGAGCGGTGCTCCCTATGTTGACCCAGCTCCCCGGGAGGGAGCCCCTGGGTCCGAGGTTGACGTGGTCTGCGTGGATGAACTGCAGGCGGAGCGATGCGGGGGGGGCCTGCTCTGCAGCAGCGGCGCGCGCAGCTGCGGTCTCGCTGGTTCCAGGAGGCGTGGCAGGACGACCGCTGCTCTCGTCCGCGGAACGGCAGGGAGGAGGGCCGAGGGCGTTGACGAAATCGTCCGAGAGCGTCATCTCGTGGACGCCCAGCTCGTAACCTCCCGGGTGCTTCTCGACGAAGACGCCATGGTCGCGCAGCAGGCTCTGGCAGATGATCTGGTGGCCGAAGCAGCTGCCGAACATGCGAAGGCCGTCGTGGGTGCGGAAGACGTGGCCCAGCCAGCCGTCCAGGCGGCGCACCCACGGCGTGTCGTCGTACGAGGAGGCGGCCGAGCCCGTCACCAGCAGGGCGTCAAAGGACGACAGGTCGCCGGGGTACTCAGCCTTGACGGCGTCGAACTCCTCCGACTCGACGGTCAGCGTAGGCGATACGCGCTTTGCCGCGGCGTCGAGGAGAGACTGAAACATGGAACCGTACGAACGGTGACGAGGGCGGACGGCGGCTACGGGCTCGTCGGTGTTGAGTATGGCTATGCGTATTGTGGATGTCATTCCGGTCATTGCAAAGGGAAGAAGGAGAAAAACCGGGATATAAACTGTCAAAAAAACAGGCTCCTATGCCAACTACTTTTTTCTTTTCTTTTTTCCTTCTATGAGCGACACTTTTGAGGTGTGCCGTGTTGAGAAATATCCAGATGGGGCAGCCCGATTTCTGAACAACTCCCCCCCCCCCTTTCCCCTCCGGTCGGATGCTATCCGGCACCGGAACCCCGGCCCACTTAGTCTGCGCCCTGCTGGGCAATAATAGACGTGACTCTTACGGCCTGATTGCGATGAATGATTCATCAGTACACATGTTGTTGGAGACGGAGGAGATGATGGAGAAAATATCAACATGGTATCTAGAGGAGAGGAAACGAGATTGATTTCAGGAGCTCCGTAAAGACCAGGTTCCATATCCGTTGCCGCATCGGGGGGAACAAGGCAATTCAAGCTTCCGACCCGTCAGCATCGGGAGGAGAAAGGGGGGGGGGGGAAGACATGTTCCGATAAGCACAGGCCTGTAATACCCCGTATGTTGGAACGCAGCAATGCAGGCTATAGAGACCGTCCCGCTGCTGAGATGTATTACGGTCACACGTAACTGGCAGGATGATGGAAGCGCTATGCATGCATCGCCAAGCCAAGATGTGCAGTGTTGCTGCTGTCGGACATGTCTGCCCTCGTCGGGCTCCAAAGTCCGATGGTGATAACACGGTACGGTTTTACTCCCCACACAACCCAAACGGTCCCATGCAAGCACCGGCGCCGTAATTCGCTGCTCGCTTCGCCGATCTGATATCCGGGTCAAGACGCCCGCCGTCGAGTTGATATGGGCATACAAGAAGATATGGGCATGCAATGATCACAGGGCCCGGTCGACATCGGTGGTTGCCATCTGCAGCACCGCCTCGGTCTGCAATGGACACGACTCCCCAGTCTACACGGCCTGGATCGATCCCGTGCTGCCGGCAGAGGAGGCTACGACGAGCCCCGTATGCGTTGCGTGAACGTGAAGCCTGAAAGTATTCCAGCACTGTATCGACAACCTGGGAGTTTGCAGATACGCACCGATAGCGGTCTCTATCACCATCCCATATCACATTCCTGGGTGTACAGCCGTCAGTTGGCACGGAGCCGAGAAATGGTCTATCTGCGTCTACCTTGAGTCTTCAGGTATCCCGGACGTTGCGTATAAACCACTGGCCTCTACCCAGATCTGCTAGGGATATCTTCCGAATCCCTCACCCGTCTCGGCTCCTGCCTGTCTTAGCCGTTTGCTACCACCTGATCCTAACCACCTCTACTCTCCTCTGCCTTTTTTTTTCGATCCCCTTCGCAGGACCGACAATAATACCCGGCCGCCGCTCTTCTGACTGCGCCGTCACGTCACTCTCTGCCCTACACACGCAGCTACCCGCGATGTCGGTCGACGACGACCGCAAAGACCAAAAAGTCGGCATGGCCTCGGGCGCTATGGAAGACACAGCGTCCGTGAGCCGCGGAAAGGTCATCTGCACCGGTTCGTCCACCGAAGGCGGTGATGTCGCCGCAAAGTACGCCAACGTCTTCACCGACGGCGAGACCTACTCGGCGTCCGAGTGGGGGAGGCTGCGCTGGAAGCTGGACCTCCGCTTCGTGCCCCTCCTGTGGTTCAACGTGACGCTCGGTGCGATGGACAAGGTCACGACAGCTACGGCTGCCCTGTACGGTTTCCGCGAGGACACTGGCCTTACCGGCGACCGTTACAGCTGGGTCGGCAGCGCCTTCTACGTAAGTCTTACTCTACAGTCTCTGCCCACCGTGGCGGCAGAGCCTCATGCTCACGGGAGAACTCTGTTCCTGTTCAGTTCGGATATCTCGTCTGGTGCATTCCCAGCGGTACCCTGCTCCAGAAGTTCCCCGTCGCCAAGCTCATGTTCGCGGCCCAGCTGATATGGGGTGTGATCCTCGTCGCGACGGGTTTCGCCCACAACTTTGCCACCCTCATCTCCCTCCGCGTCCTTCTGGGAGCCCTCGAAGCACCGGTGGTGCCCGGGAACCTTCTCGTCATGAGCATGTGGTACACGCGACGCGAGCAGCCGATCCGCACCGGACTCATGTACACCGGGCTCTCGGTGTGCTTCACCGGACCGATAGGCTGGGGGATCGGGTTCCTTTCCGGCGAGCACCGGTGGCGCGCCATGTTCTGGATCACCGGGGGGGTGACGATCGTGTGGGCGTGCGTCGTCGGCATCTTCCTGCCGGATAGCCCCGTCGAGGCCAAGTTCGTCACGGAACGGCAGAAGGCCATCGTCATCGACCGGCTGCGGGCGGACCAGACGGGCGTGGAGAACAAGAACTTCCGCGGGGAGCAGGTGGTCGAGGCCCTGACGGACCCCAAGACCTGGCTCATGTTCCTCTTCAACATCTTCATCTCCATCCCCAACGGCGGGCTCACCAACTTCTCGCCCCTCATCATCCAGGGGCTGGGCTACTCGTCCCAGCGGTCCACCTTGCTCACCATGCCCACCGGCATCATACAGACCATGTCATCCTACATCTGCAACGGCGGCGTCTTCCTCTGCGCAAAGTACCTGCCGCAGCGCCAGTGTCGCGTCGCCTGGGTCCTCTTCGGCATCGTCGTCGGCCTCATCTCCGCCGTCTTCCTCTACACCCTGCCGTTGGACGACTATCTGGGCCGTCTGGCTGCCCTCTACATGTCCTACTTCTATCTCGGGCCCTATATCGTCTGCCTGGGGATGAACACGGCCAATACTGCCGGCCACACGAAGAAGGTGACGGTCAACGCCATCATATTCCTCGCCTACTGCACTTCCAACATCATCGGTCCCCAGTTCTTCCGAGCCGCGCAGGCGCCGCTGTACCCGCTCGGGATGGCTGCCATCCTCGGGAGCTATGTCCTATCCATCATCACCGTCATGACATACGCCCTCTACTGCTGGCGGGAGAACGCCAGGAGGGACAGGGTGGATGAGGCGGCTGGTGCTGCTCACCATGATGATACTGATTTCCGCGACTTGACTGACAAGCAGAATATCCACTTCCGTTACGTCTGGTGATTTGTCTCTGTTGAGTTGAGATCCTGAGTGCTTGAACCAGTCAAGAGCACTGTTCGTTATCGGTACCTGTCAGTGTCCCTGCGCCCCCGCGGTCCGCTCATGTTGCGTGTACTCATTTGACCATGAACCCCCTCCCCTACGAGGTGTGTAGAGATCAACATGTATTCGGTGGCCCCTGGAAGTCTTCTCCATAGCGTCGGTGGACGGCAGGATCCAAGAGCCACAGACGGTACTTGGATTTGACAGGGATGGTATATAATAATCTCCACAGAATGAATCTCACGATAACTGCAGCAAATAACTGCAGTTAGAAATTAGAAAGTGTCTACAATCCACCGAAACCAACAGGGCCTTCACATTAATGTAGAAGGAATAGCTAAATGACCACAGATTTGGGAGGGGGGGGGGGAGGGACACAAGGATGATCGTGGAGTTCTGTTCGCCTTTGAGGACATGATGAGTTCGTCCTCGTCGTAGAAACCCGACAAGGGATTCTGCTTGAGAAACTCGACCCATCCCACAAGACGCAGCGCATCATGTTCCGAGTGCAAGGGCTCGCTCAGGGGGACCGTTTCCCACTTCCGGCATTCGTAGGATTGAAAGCGCGATCCAACCCGCAGCACACCATAGACGTTCCCATTCTCATTTTCCGTGTTCTCGCAGTGTATTCTCGGCTTTTCGAATGCCAAGGACCACGGCCGATCGTCTCCGCCGGACTCAACCAGCATAAGATCGCACCGATAAGACTGCTCGTCCCCTGGCTTGCCCGGGACTTGAAAGACAACCTCGTCCGGAACACTACCCGTTCTGCCATACCCCCCCCCCGAAATATCGTACCCTTACTCTACTCTGAAGAACCAGCTCAGGATCGACCCCACTGACACCTGGTAATAGTGTTCGGCTCGCTCGTCGGCCCTTCTGATTGTATCTGGGTGGGCGTTTCCCCTTTGCAATAACGATGTCAGGAGGGACCTGTCCCTTTGGATCTCGCCCAGAAAGAACCGAGTACTGGACCGTCTGGAGATGACAGACCACTCCTCACCCCGTCAAACATCACCAGTGACTCTGTCGGAGAGCTCTCAGCTCTGTGTCTTTCAGAGGACACGATCGCAGCTTTCGCACCGTTCTCCATCCAGCGAAAGGGTAATCTGAGACCGATTTCACATCCCAATTGGCCGCCGCAACTAAATTTCCTGGCGCCGCCTCGAGGATGATTCGATTCTGTATTTATGATGGGAGGAGGCTGAGTTTGCTCGACGTGCGCTCAATCTTCGACACGCTCAGAATCATGTCGATGGCGGTCTCGGCCGCAGACTTGCCGGGCCAACAGCTCTCGCTGAACAGCACCTCGGGCCTCGTACAGAGCACATCTTCCCCAAGTGCTCTGCATAGAAACACGTGCCTCGCTGCGAGGATGGCACACGTGACCGGCTGGTCTGCAGGTCGGCCGAGCGCCAGCTGACTCTTGATGTGTCGCCGCACCGGCTGAAGTCCCTCGCGGGCGTCCTGAGACAAGACAGCCCATGACGACCCGACGGGGACGACGTTCTCCGCGGGTGTCTTCCATGCTGGCAGGTCTGTAGCATGCACATACGGTCCATCTGTCCCGAAAGGCTAGGGTCCATAGCTTGGCGGCTGTTTTCGTGCTTAGGGTGTAGGCGTTGGAGCCCAGTCCGTTCCGATAGAGAGCAAAGCCGTTCTTCGAGATCCAAAGAAGGGCATAGCCAAGTCTAGTGAACGTCTCATCACTCATTCTCCGTCGGATAAGATGACGCCAAACATGGAGAAAATCCAAGATTATGCGGCCGAGGAAGGCATTTCTCCTGGGGTCAGTATCCAGTACGGGTGTCCAACGCGGGCCAGGGATAGTCGGGTGTACTTCTTCGTGTGATGGACATGATGTTCCTGTCGAGGTCGAAGGTCCACATGCTGTCTATCGCCCTGCCTCGGTGGTCTCCATACGGATTGACGATATCGTATACGTCCTCCCACGATAGCCCGTAGGTTCCTTTTTCAAGGAGCTCGGGAAAACTGCTCTGTGAAACGGTCAGGTTTTACGAGAGAGGGAGGGAGGGAGAGAGAGAGAGATGGATAGCATGTACTAGGATGACAAACCAAGACGTGCTTCCTCGTGCTGGGGGAGGCGGAAGAACAACTCGAGGTGGCGATTATCGTCTAGTGGGGCCGATCCAAGGCCTCTGCGAATAGAGGGCCCTATATTCGGACACCCCCGGCGATGGAGGATGAGGTGCGCCCGGTGAGGCCGTGGTCGGCGAATTCGTCGGCGGGAGAGACATTGCGCGTGTAGAGCAGGTCTGTGAGCCCAGTCCCAGTTCGCCCAGGAGACGAACAGTTGGCAGAGCGGCGCGTCAATGTTTCGCGACTACGACGAGTATCCAACTGTTACGTTGGCGGGACCGGGGGGGCGGGGCCATGGCGGGGTGGACCGGGGGGGGGGGAATTTCCATGTTGAAATAAAAGGGGTCCTCCATGCAATGGCAGCACAGGTAATATCACTACTATTATGCTAGAGCATGCTCAAGCGAAATCGAGAGAGAGAGGGTAGTATCTAGCCAGCCAGTAATGGTGAGGACGAGACAACGTGACTAGACATGATATGAATGTTCTGTGGACGGGGAGATCAAAACCGTTGTTCACGTGACAGACTGTTCGTGCCACTGCGCCCTCAATGATTCATATTCTTAGGCTTTAGGTCGCCCGAGAAAAATCCCCCCCCCCCCCCACCGGAGAGCCCCATCCATCGTCATCGCCACCACCGCCATCGGCAGCAAGCAGCTCGCGCCCCTCCCCCCCCCCCCCAATCCCCTCCTCCTCCAAAAAAAAATCATTGCATCGTCACCAAGTCACCAACCCTATCATGACATTATTGTTTCTCAGAAGTTGCAGTCTGTAACCCGTACTTCATTCTCTCCTTGATCTCTCTCTTTCTCTCCCCAAAGGCGAAGAGGGAAAGGATAAGCTCCCAATAGAAACTGAAACACTTTTTGAGTTCGTCGACCGCTTCGTCCGGTCCCCGCGTTCGATATACCTATACCCCCCCCCCAAGGTCAGAGAAACAATGAACAATGCCAGCCCTCACGATATCAACCGATACCAACCACCGGCGATCCATGTCTCCAGAGCGACCACCAATGTCTCCCCTAACACCCACCACGGGAAGTCCGACATTTTCTGCTCCTCCTCCTCCTCCTCCTCATCCTCATCCTCCTTCTCTTCCTACTAGCGCCGCCAATGGTGCTGGTGCTCCGGCAAAGTCGACGAAGACGACAGTCATACAACAGCAACAGCAACAGCAGCAGCAGCAGCAGCAGCAGCAGCAGCAGCAGCAGCAACCACCGACAGCTCCTCCTGCCAGTATATTAACCCACACGACGCACCCTTCTCAGCCCACCGTCATTCAGCGGGCACCCCCGCCGGAACCCATAGATTTCGAGGACAACGCCGACGCCATAGCCCTCCAGTCGGCCATATCAGTCCTCCTTCTCCAGCGCAAGAAGGCAGACCAGCACATCCGCCTGCTGCGGGACCACAAGGACGCCTCCGTCGCCGACCCGGCCAGGTTCGCCGAGCTGCTGGCCGCCGCAGACAGGGATAGGTCCACGGCGAACCTGCCCTTCAAGGACGCCTTCTCCGCCCAGGCCATCGCGTCGTGTCCCCAGATCAACTGGGAGCAGTACGCCGTCGTGGGGGAGCCCCTTGACCGCCTCCACGCCGAGCAGGTCTCCCGCCCGCCCGAGACGGCGCCGTCGGTCTACTCGGGAGGCGTCTACGAGTCCGGCACGCCAGCCGCCGCGGCTGCTGGGTCTGGCAGCCTTGCGAGGCCTGAAGAGTACCGTGGTCCGCTGGCGCCGTACTCGCCTTGGAGGGACGCCGCTGACAGTGCGCCCTCCAAGTCCAGGTCGAACAAGTAGAGACTCTTGTCTTTTTCTCTCTTTGGTCCCCATTTGCTTCCGAGGATTTCACCGTGGTCTGATGAGAGGAAGCACAATGACTGAGACGATATCATGTATAGTAGTACAAGCTGCGCGATGCCCAGTACAGTGCAGAGAGTAACATTGTCGGGACATCAGAGGCATCGATGCATGTTTAGCGGGAATAAGTATCATCGTTACTACCTTTCCTCTATGGCCCCGAAAACAGATATGCGCCAATGTTGTCCCAACGCCATAATAGCTGTCAAGGCAATTCCTTCTAGTGCCCAGTACTTTGGCTCTACCTCCCTCGTAACGCTCCGTTTCGACGTGGCAGTAGAAAATAAGAAAACCAATGAGGTGCTGAACCCGTTTTAGAGAGAAAAAAAATAACCTTCCGGAAGGAATAATCATGCTCAACGTCAGTCAGTCCAGCTTCTTTTTCAGACATGCCCCATACTCGCCTTACTCGGGAAAGTCCCTGTCTTGGTGTCAGCATGTGCCGGCGAATGGGCGCACGACGCCCGGAAAATATCGGTACTTACTCGCCGCTGTCTTGGGCAGAGCGACATAGTCGCCGGTAGTATTTATTCTTGTCGCTCTCCTTTCCATTCCAGTACAGTTCTGTGGCCTCGAGGTTGACTATCTTCCTCGGGTCGTAGGCCGGGTCTTCGTCGTCGAGTATATCGATGATGGCTTCGATATGGGACCAAACGTCCTCCCTCTTGGCAGGGTTGGGCGTGTAGCACGCGGTGCCGTCCTTGGCGACGAGGTGATGGAATATCTTGGTCTCGAACCGGACGCGTGGTTGCTCCCAGGGGAAGCGAGGGCTAAAAGTTATCCTGATGCGGAAAAGGCCTCCGTCGAGCTTGGTGCCGAGCTGTCCAAAGTATGTTACGATCCAGACAAAGGGGTTGTTGTTTTCCAGAATCGCATCGTGGGCCGTCTGCATCCTCATCCGGGAGACAACCTGACTGTACTGGTGCTTGAGATTGATAGCGACTGTGCTTTCGGATGCGGCGGCTGTGGCGCCCTCGAGCTCCCAAGAACGAGTTTCATGGTCGAGTGCTGACTTTATGGCGACCAGCCTCTTCTCCAACGACGTGAAGTCGAAAACCCCCTCCATCGAATTGCTACCGTGCGACTCGAAAGGCATTCGAACAAATTGTTCGCCGGTTTCGGATTCCTCCTTGCCGCGTTGTGTGATGGCAAGGTAGGAGTCATAGTACCAGAGGAAGCGGTTCTTGCAGAGGTCCTTGAATGGCTCAAATGCCGCAGCGGCTTCGTCGGCTTCGTCAGCATCCGCGCCGCCAGAACTGCCGTCGGTGGTATCCTTGGTGCCGTCAGGCTTCAGTCCTAGATAGCCCTCGAGCCGATTGATGACGGATATGCGTAGCGTCTCGTGGGAAATCTGCATCAGGTCAGCGTCTTAGCCGGGAGCAAAAGAGTCAGGCGGTGCCGACCTTTTGGTTGTAGCTCTTCTGAAGCATGCGGTCCTCCACAGTGTCTGCACTCTCGAACCCCGGTTCGTTCTCGTAAGGGTTCGATGACATGAGACTTTGGATGGATATGAGGATCGACTCCAGCCCTTGGGCAGAGGACCATTCCTCCCCCTTCTCACCTCGCCAGGTCCTAGGCAGGTGTCAGAGGTTGCCTCCAGCAGTGTAGAGTTCTCAATCATACATACCCCAGGATAGACCTCGTCTTGTCAGCATGTACTGTTCCAGGACAACGGAGAGGGGGTGGGTGTTTCGGAACTTACAGGCATACTTTTCCGTCGGAGTAGATGTTGGGGTTGAACCTACATCGACCCCTGTCGGTTGTGACCGATATCACGCTTGGTGCCTTTGAGGGGTAGTCTAGGCATATTCAATCAGTTTCTCGCGCACATGGAATCTCGTCATCCGTGTCGACAATACCGTCGCTAAACCGAATCACAAACTTAGTCCCCGGGAGCCATGTCAGCATCGAGAGTCTCTCTGGGGTTATGAGCGTGGGGAAGTAATTCCGAGAAAGTCACGGACCTCGAAGAAACCAAACTCATAGGGAGTTTGATGAGGGCCGATGATGAGGGCCCTCACGTTGCGGACATCGATGTCGCGGCATGCTACGGCGAGAGCTAAGACAGTAATCTGCGGTCAACAGGCTGAACTGATATGAGATGGCATATGGCTCTGACAAGATGTTACTGCTCACATAGATCCGAGCCTTTTTGCAGAGCCCCAAGTTCCTGGACGGTTGCCAAAATCAGTGTCAGGAATCGCAAAGCGTGGAAGACTGTACGTGAGACAAGTTGAAAGGAATGGGAAAGAAATGCAAAGACGCAGGTGCACGGCGTAGATGGTATCGAACCTTGGTGATGCGGATGATGGACTGGACGAGCGGCATATTGATGCGACAGGAGCCGGCTAACAGCTTAATAGAGCCAGTTGAGCGGCAGAGGTCTATGATTGCTTATCACCGAAATCGAGTTCCCAAGACTGATGGAAGATCAGACCGGGGGGGAGGGGGAGGTGATGGTGTACTTGAGGCCTGCACGGGGGTGAATGCAGAGTCAAGCAGGCAACATAAAAAATTGTGAAAAGAGAAGGGCGGAGAAGACAATGCAGAGTTACGTGAGAACGTGGGACAAGCAATGCATATTAGAGCTTGTGCGGCGAGTCGAGGCGGGGCAGTCAGATGGTAAGGCGACCTTCCGCCAACAGCCAACAGCTGACAGGTGGTGAGTGGCTGACGACCAATGGCGACTGGCGCCTGAATATTATTACATATTCCATAACCTGCATAGTAATAGCATTCTGAATTCGAATATCAACCACTACTGGGATACTGGCTTGTAGTTATTGGGTATGTAGTTGTAGTGGTATTATTAGTAATAACCTGGGTGGCTGTGGTGGTGGCTGCTGTTGATGCACATTTGTGAAGAAAAAAAAGAAAGAAGAATAAGAATAACCCCAGAAAGAGCATGTTGGTGACGTATTAGCGCTCAGGCGCTGTTCCACTTTGGATTACTTGGTGTGCTGCGATGACGGCAGGTGGGTGGGTGGTGGCTCTTGTGTGTGTCTCTGGGTTCAATATTACCCCAATTAGCAGTCCTGACATCTGACCTTTGACCTCCATGACACTCGCAGGGATAATAGTGGCCATTATAATACTCCGTAGACCGATTTCCAACCATGCACTGCTCGTACACTGGCCGTGCACCTCTTCTTTCTGTCTTGTACAGATTACTCTTACCTTTACCAATTCTGCAATAACAGTTGTCAATGGTCTATCCATCGTATAGGTAGGGCTGCCTCTAATCAGCTTCAAGACATGCCTCATGTCAACCTCATTTTAGCCACACCTTCCAACAACGAGTGATAAAAACAAAGCCACCGCCAAGAATGAGGCGAGATTGCACGTTGAAGGAGAAGCGGAGAAAAGGGGGAAGAAGATGCAATATACGGATTGACAAGAGTTGACATCTCGATTTTGTTATACCGAGTACGGAGTAATACATAACGCAAGCTGTGACTGTGGTTCCAGGGTATCCAAGGACAGACAAAGCCACAGCGAATCCAGCGCCCGACCCCACATCACTGTAATCTCCCGTAACGTAGGTGTCCTCAGGGCGTAGCGCGCGCTACAAGTGCCGTCCTTACAGCGCATCTTTCACGGCCCCACCCACTCGCCTCGATCCTTTGCTGAGCAGTGAAGTCCCATTTGCTGGTCGCGGCTGAGGAAGACGCGCTCCAACGTGCATCGACGACGCGTTAATCGATTACCCACGTCCAACCTCCGGAGCCTGGCAGCCGTGACAGCTTGACGGCGGCAACCACCCGACCACAACCCTACAAGCCTACACTTCTCGCCATGGCCAGCTTCTTCGATCTCAAAGCCAGAAAGGCCGCCGCTGCGTCCAATGGAGCGTCGCCAGAGAACAAGAACGAGAAGCGACCCGACGGAAGACTCCAGCCTTGGGTTGAGAAATAGTCAGTCTATAATCCTCCTTCCCCGCAAGGATGCATCCAAGGCCTAACGTGAGAACCCCCCCCCAAAAAGCCGTCCGAAGAGCCTGGACGATGTCGCCGCCCAGGACCACACAGTCACTGTGCTCCAGCGCACACTGCAGTCCTCCAACGTGAGTCCCACAGAAAGAATCCGGGCCCGAGAGGGACGGCGGTGCAGCAAGCTCACGTGCGAGACGGAAATCAATAGCTCCCACACATGCTCTTCTACGGTCCGCCAGGAACGGGAAAGACGTCTACGATCCTGGCGCTGGCAAAGCAGCTCTTTGGCCCCGAGCTGATCAAGTCGCGGGTGCTGGAGCTCAACGCCTCGGACGAGCGAGGCATCTCGATTGTCCGGCAAAAGGTCAAGGACTTTGCACGTATGCAGCTGACCAACCCGACGTCCGCCTACAAGCAGAAATACCCCTGCCCCCCGTACAAGATCATCATCCTCGATGAGGCCGACTCCATGACCCAGGACGCCCAGAGTGCCCTCCGCCGCACCATGGAGACGTACAGCAAGATTACCCGCTTCTGTCTCATCTGCAACTACGTCACCCGCATCATCGACCCGCTCGCCAGCCGATGCAGCAAGTTCCGTTTCAAGAGCCTAGACCAGGGTAATGCGAAGAAGAGGCTCGAAGCCATTGCCCAGACAGAGGGCGTGGCCCTCGAGGACGGCGTCCTCGACACCCTCATCGACTGTAGCGAAGGTGACCTGCGAAAGGCCATCACTTTCCTCCAGAGCGCCGCCCGACTTGTCGGTGCTATCTCTGCCAAGAAGGAGGCCGGGGTCGGTGCGGACGATGCAATGGACGTCGACAAGAGCCCCGTCACTGTCAAGATCATCGAGGACATTGCTGGCGTCATCCCCGACAAGACGATCGATGGCCTCATGCAGGCCATGCGTCCCACCCGCTCTGGGCAAGCATATGACGCCATCACGAGCCTGGTCGAGGACATGGTGGCCGACGGCTGGAGTGCAGGACAAGTCGTGACACAGGTACGATATCATACACACACACACACACACACACACATATATATATATATATATATATATATACCCCTCCTCCCATACGACTATTGCTGACAATGGGTTGCCTGTAGCTCTACCATGCCCTTATGACGGATGAGACGGTTCCCGACGCGCAAAAGAACAAGATTGTCATGATCTTTTCCGAGATTGATAAGAGGTTGGTCGATGGCGCCGATGAGCATCTGTCCATGCTGGATTTGGCGATGCGGATATCGTCAGTCATGGCGGCCAGATAAATCATATAGCATAATATTACAAAACACATGTATGTCTTAATTCCGATGGTGGAGTTTCGGTGGGCGGCGTTGGTAAAAAAAGAAGGGGGGGGATTGTATTGTAAAAACAATTTCCCGAGATGGTAGTGGTGGGACGGTAAATCGCTGCATTCTGTGTGGATATATATATATGTACTCTGTTCTGGCCAGGCATCGTATCACGCCACATCTTCCTGGCCTAGGAGGCCAAGGTTCCCGTGCAAGATGGACCACGCATCACCGGGCTTGCGCTCCGGAATCCTTGGTTTCTCCGTATGTTTCCTGACAGCTACGTCCTTCTCTTCACCAGTGGCTAGCCATACATCGTCATCCCCGGCTGTCTCGTCCCCAATCTCATCCTCCTGCTTGGCCTTGCTCAAGCCGGTAAGAGCCTCGAGCTCCCGGAGCACCTCCAGGGAAGCCTCCAGGGCTAGCTGACCGCCCTCGATGGTCTCCGTGACAGACTCGAGACCTGCAATCTTGGCAGAGTCGGAGGCAAACACCCAAGGCTTGATACGTTTCGATAGATCCGGAGTGCCACTCTTGGTGATCAAAAGCTCCTCCGCGATGCCCGACCGCCTTCTAAGCGACTCCTTCATGGGATACGCCGGCAGCAGCTGACTCTCCTCTGCCAGATGACCGAGCCTCGCGCAGGCCTCCCTCGTCTGCCTGTCCAGCGTGGCCTTTATGTACGACTTCTGCCCAATCAGGGCCTTTTGGTTGGTTGAGATGGTGAGGAGCTTCTCGATGTAAGGGATGAGCAGGTGATTGATGGGCGCGGGCATTGTGTCGGATGCTGTCGTCGGTTGGGGCACGCCGGGCTTGAGACTGGGCTTCTGCAACGTCTCGGGCCGCGCCGATGTCAACGAGACGAGCTCCTCCCTTAACTTCAGGTACCGCGAGTACTTGTCCTTGATGACTGCCAGCCCCTGCGTCACCGTCACCTGGTCAGCTGCCGGGTCGCCCTTCCTCCTAGAAGGTGACCCATGGCCGCTTGATGTGTCTTCAGGGGGCGCCTCGCTCAGCTCCTTCTCGATCCAACCGATGAGCTCGTTCCGTGTGGCCTGGAGGGCCTGCAGCTTTGCTCTGTTGCTGACAATGCCTGGCCGGCCCCTGGACCGAGCCTTGGCCTCGCAGAGAAGCTTCTCCTCCTGGTTGAGGAGCAGCTTAGCCCGTAGGACGATCCTCTCCAGCTGTTTAGCCTGCACCCTGAGGTCGGGCCCGCTCGTCGCTGAATTCTCGGCGCCAAGGCTCTCCATGATCTCTGGGGGTACGGCGGGTCGTGTCATTGTGTCGATGAACATGCTGCTCGCATTCAGGTAGTCCGGTGAGGCTGCTGGTTGGTCCACAAGCTGGTCAAGATATTTGCGGACGGCAGAGAGTTTCTGACGCTTCTTCTGCAGTTTCAATATGGCGAGCTGCTCGTCCAGCAACGACGTCGTCTCCTCAGGCTCGGGCTCATGCTGATAGTTGGGAGTCTCAGGCCGCTCCTGCATGACCTTGTCAAACTGCCGCCGCGCTGCTACATTTTTCCGCAGTGCATCTAGATATTCGCCATGTATTCCCCTTTCCGAGGACGCTGGGACATCGTTGTCTGACGCACCCGCCAAGGCTAGGGGTCGGCTCAGAGGGACGTCTGCACTCGATTTTAGGTGTAGGGCGATTATGCGCCTGATGTAGTTGGCTTGCTCCCGGGGCCTGACATAAGGCTCAAGGCTAGCCTGAATTCTCTTCACGGTCTCGGAGGCCTCAGACATGTCGCTTGTGGCATTTTCTGAGGGCAAGATAACATGGTTGCATGGACGACTAAATGCACCATGTTATTTATTCAGTTGCTCTGCTGGGGCGTACGCGGTGAGAGAGAGAGAGAGCGGTAACGATGGCGTTGGGAGAGAGATGTGGCTAGTGTGCTATGTGGCGCGCTCCCAATGCGCTAAGCCGCATATGGAATCCGTGCAGGTGCTTCGAGTGGCTGGATCTGAAATTTATCAGCGGCGCTGTGCTTTCCATCGATACAGAGGCGGACAAGCTGGTTTCAACCGCCCAACTCTGCATCTGCTTTCTCTCTCTATCACCTCAACGACGCGTCAACGGCCGAATACCGCGACTCTATCGACTGCACGGCGGATACATGGTTGTTTAGGTGCCGATTGAGCTCCCCGAGCTGCCGTTGAGGACAGCGACAACCTTCCCTCACGAGCTTCATCCACAACCGCGCCCAAGATGTCGGACCAACACCGCGATGTCTCGCAGTACAAGTACTCGGCCATGTCCAACCTGGTCCTCCAGGCGGACCGTCGCTTCGTCACGCGACGGACCGACGAGACTACGGGTGACCCCGAGTCGCTCGCCGGTCGGCTGAGCATCAAGGATATGGGCGGGCGTGTTGCCCGTGATGAGGCGCCCCAACAGAAGAAGCCGTCTGCCATGCCGTCGGTTCAGCGCGGCAATCTGCAGGAGGGCGAAGACATTCTGCTGCGCGAACAGAGGAAACGCAAGGGAGAGTCGTCTCAGGCCAGGGCATCTGGCATCATCGGCGCCAACGAGGCTCTCATCGAGGGCATCACCTACCGACCGCGCACACAGGCGACACGCGCCACCTTCGACCTGATCCTAACCATTGTGGCCGAGAACCTGGGCGACGTGCCCCACGAGGTCGTGCGCAGTGCAGCGGATGCCGCCCTCGAGTACCTGAAGGACGATGACCTCAAGGATCTCGACAAGAAGAAGGAGATTGATGAGATTCTGGGCGCTACCATGAACTCTAAGCAGTTCAACGAGCTGGTCAACCTGGGAAAGAAGATTACCGATTACGACGCTCAAGATGACGACGAGGATGTCGACATGGGAGGCGCCGATGGCGAAGACGCCGAGATCGACGAGCGCGAGGGTGTCGCCGTCGCATTCGACGAGGACGAGGAAGACGAAGAAGGGGGTATCGTGAACGAGGTTCACGACGAGTCCTCCGAGGACGAGGAGGAAGATAGAGAAGAAGAAGACAAGGACGCAGCCTCTCAAGATGAGGACGACGCTTTGGGGGTCGAGGATGAGATGATCTTGGACGCCGGTCCTGCAGGCGACAAGCAGAAAGAGAAGGACGGGAATGTCGTTGCGGCGCGCGAGATCGATGCCTTCTGGCTTCAGCGACAGATTGGTGCCCTCTACCCTGATGCCCATGAGCAAACCGACAAGACCAAGGAGGCTCTGCGCATCCTCTCTGGCGAGCCAGACGAACCCCAGGGCGAGGAGAAACCCCTGCGCGAAATCGAGAACGACCTCATGGAGTTGTTCGACTTCGAGCACCACGAGCTGGTCCAGAAGCTTGTCGGGAATCGCGAAAAGGTCTTTTGGCTTACGAAGCTGGCCCGCGCCGAAGCGGCGGATCAGCGCGAGGCTGTCGAGAGAGAGATGGTCTCCGAGGGCCTGCGATGGATTCTGAATGAGCTGCACGGAAAGACTGCATCGGACGAGAAGAAGAAGGGAAAGATGGATATCAAGATGGACATCGTCGTCCCATCATCGCTCACCGAGGCACCGAAGCAAGAAAAGGCCGACGGGCAGCTCGTCGGAGGCTTGCAACCCAGGAAGACGATCAACCTGGACAACCTCGTGTTTGACCAGGGCAACCACCTGATGACCAATGCCAAGGTTAGGCTTCCCGAGGGGTCGACGAAGCGCAGCTTCAAGGGCTACGAAGAGATTCATGTCCCCGAACCCAAGAAGCGCAACGACCCTGGCGAGAAGCTGATACCCATTACCGACATGCCCGAGTGGGCTCGCACACCCTTCAGCACCGCCAAGTCGCTCAACCGCATTCAGACCAAGTGCTACCCTTCGGCGTTTGGGGACGACGGCAACATGCTCATCTGTGCCCCCACCGGTAGTGGAAAGACCAACGTTGCCATGCTGACGATTCTGCGGGAGCTTGGCAAGCACCGTAACCCCGAGACAGGCGAGCTCGACTTGGACTCCTTCAAGATTGTCTACATTGCTCCCCTGAAGGCCCTGGTCCAAGAGCAGGTCGGCAACTTTGGCAAGAGGCTGGAGCCCTACGGCGTCCGCGTGTCCGAGTTGACAGGTGACCGTCAGCTCACCAAACAGCAAATCGCCGAGACGCAGATCATCGTCACCACCCCCGAGAAGTGGGACGTCATTACCCGCAAGGCTAACGACCTCACCTACACGAACCTGGTGCGCCTCATCATCATCGACGAGATCCACTTGCTGCACGACGAGCGTGGCCCGGTGCTCGAGAGCATCGTCAGTCGCACCATGCGCAAGTCCGAGCAGACGGGTGAGCCTGTCCGCATTGTTGGTCTGTCGGCCACCCTGCCCAACTACCAGGATGTGGCCGGCTTCCTGCGTGTCGATGCCGAGAAGGGCCTGTTCCACTTTGATGGTTCCTATCGACCCTGCCCACTGCGACAAGAGTTTGTTGGTGTCACCGACCGCAAGCCGATCAAGCAGCTGAAGACGATGAACGATGTGACCTACAACAAGGTCATGGAGCACGTCGGTACCAACAGGAACCAGATGCTCATTTTCGTCCATTCGAGAAAGGAGACGGCCAAGACGGCACGGTACATTCGCGACAAAGCCCTGGAGATGGAGACCATCAACCAGATCCTCCGCCACGATGCCGGAAGCCGTGAGATCCTCAACGAGGCCGCCAACCAGGCCTCCGACAAGGAACTCAAAGATGTCCTGCCATACGGCTTCGGTATCCACCACGCTGGCATGAGCCGCGCCGACAGGACCGATGTCGAGGACCTCTTCTCCCAGGGCGCTATTCAGGTTTTGGTATGCACGGCCACCCTGGCCTGGGGTGTCAACCTACCAGCCCACACTGTCATCATCAAGGGCACCCAGGTCTACTCCCCCGAGAAGGGTACGTGGGTTGAGCTGAGCCCACAAGATGTGCTCCAGATGCTCGGCCGTGCTGGGCGGCCACAGTTCGACACGTATGGTGAAGGCATCATCATCACGACGCAGAGCGAGATCCAGTACTACCTGTCACTGCTCAACCAGCAGCTGCCCATCGAAAGTCAGTTTGTTAGCAAGATGGTCGACAACCTGAACGCTGAGGTTGTCCTGGGCAATGTCCGTACGCGCGACGAAGGCGTCGAGTGGCTGGGCTACACGTACCTGTTTGTGCGCATGCTCCGTTCGCCTGGTCTGTATCAGGTCGGAGCTGAGTATGAGGACGACGACGCGCTCGAGCAGAAACGTGTGGACCTGATACACTCGGCCGCCATGGCGCTCCGAAGGGCCAACCTGATCAAGTACGATGAGAAGACGGGCAGGCTTCAGTCAACGGAGCTCGGTCGCATCGCGTCGCACTACTACATCACCGCCGGATCCATGGACACCTACAACAACCTCATCCAGCCCTCAACTACGACTATCGAGCTCTTCCGCGTCTTCTCGCTCAGTGCCGAGTTCAAGTATATCCCTGTGCGCCAGGACGAGAAGCTTGAGCTTGCCAAGCTGCTGGGTCGCGTCCCCGTGCCTGTAAAGGAGAGCATCGAGGAACCGCATGCCAAGATCAATGTCCTCCTGCAGGCTTACATCTCGCGCCTCAGCCTCAACGGCTTGGCCCTCATGGCCGACATGGTGTACGTGACGCAGAGTGCCGGACGTATTCTGCGAGCCATCTTCGAGATCACGCTCAAGAAGGGTTGGGCATCAGTGGCCAAGACCGCGCTCGACCTCTGCAAGATGGCCGAGAAGCGCATGTGGCCGACGATGACGCCCCTGCGACAGTTCCCCACCTGCCCTCGAGACGTTGTCCAGAAGTCGGAGAGGACTGAGGTAGGGTGGAGCAACTACTTTGACCTCGACCCGCCGCGCATGGGTGAGCTCCTGGGCATGCCGAAGGCCGGACGCACCGTCTGCAATCTCGTGTCCAAGTTCCCCCGTCTCGATGTGCAGGCCCAGGTCCAGCCTCTGACAAGATCGATGCTCCGTGTCGAGCTGGCCATCACGCCCAATTTTGAGTGGGATGACGCTGTTCACGGTGCTGCCGAGAGCTTCTGGATCTTTGTCGAGGACAGCGATGGCGAGGACGTGCTGTACCACGACACGTTCCTGCTCCGCAAGGACTACGCGGAATCCGAGTCCAACGAGCATCTCGTCACCTTCACCGTTCCCATAACCGAGCCCATGCCTCCCAACTACTTCGTCTCTGTCGTGTCTGACCGGTGGATGCACGCCGAGACGAGACTTGCCGTCCCCTTCCAGAAGCTCATCCTGCCCGAGAAGTTCCCGCCACACACGGAGCTGCTTGACCTGCAACCCCTCCCGGTCTCTGCCTTGAAGGTGCAGAGCTACGTCGACCTCTACCCTGACTGGAAGCAGTTCAACCGTATCCAGACCCAGACGTTCAACTCCCTGTACAAGGCGGACCAGAACGTCTTTGTCGGTGCGCCGACTGGCAGCGGAAAGACTGTCTGCGCCGAGTTTGCGCTCCTGCGCCACTGGAGCCAGTCCGACCCGGGGCGCGCAGTGTACATCGCGCCCTTCCAGGAGCTCGTCGACTCTCGACTGCAGGACTGGCAGAAACGTCTTAGCCACCTGAATGGAGGCAGGGAGATCGTCAAGCTCACCGGCGAGACGGCAACGGATCTCAAGCTCTTGGAGAAGGGCGATCTGATCCTCGCTACGCCCACGCAGTGGGATGTCCTATCGAGGCAGTGGAGACGGCGCAAGAACGTGCAGACGGTGAACCTCTTCATTGCCGATGAGATCCATCTGCTCGGCAGCTCCCTGGGCTATGTGTATGAGATCATCGTGTCTCGTATGCACTATATCCGCACGCAGATTGAGAGCCCCATGAGGATTGTCGCGCTCGGCGTCTCCCTCGCCAATGCCCGCGATATCGGCGAGTGGATCGACGCCAAGAAGCACGACATCTACAACTTTACGCCTCATGTCCGGCCCGTGCCGCTCGAGCTTCACGTCCAGTCCTTCAACAACCCCCACTTCCCGTCGCTGATGTTGGCCATGGCCAAGCCTACCTACCTGGCCGTGACGCAGATGTCTCCCGACAAGCCGGCCATGATCTTTGTGCCGACGAGGAAGCAGACGCGCAACACTGCCCGCGACCTCCTGGCGGCCTGCTTCATCGACGATGACGAGGACCGATTCCTCCACGCCGATGTCGAGCAGATGCGCCCTCTCCTAGACCGAGTTCACGAGGAGGCGCTGGCCGAGTCGCTGTCCCACGGTGTCGGCTACTACCACGAGGCGCTGAGCGTCAGCGACAAGCGCATCGTCAAGCACCTCTACGACAACGGCGCCATCCAGGTCATCGTGGCCTCTCGTGACGTCTGCTGGGAGCTGGCCAGCACCGCTCACCTCGTCGTCGTCATGGGCACTCAGTTCTTCGAGGGACGCGAGCACCGTTACGTCGACTACCCGGTCGAGGAGGTGCTCCAGATGTTTGGCAAGGCGCTGCGACCGTCCGGGGACGGTAGGGGCCGGGGCGTGCTGATGCTGCCCCAGGTGAAGCGCGACTACTACAAGAAGTTCCTGAACGAAGCTCTGCCCGTCGAGTCGCACCTGCACAACTACCTGCACGACGCCTTCGTGACCGAGATCAGCACCAAGATGATTGAGTCGGGAGAGGACGCCATGAACTGGACGACGTTCACGTACTTTTACCGCCGCCTCCTGGCCAACCCCAGCTACTACAGCCTGACAGGCACAACGCACGAGGCCCTGAGCAGCTACATGACAGACCTCGTCGAGACGACGCTGGGCGAGCTGAGCGAGTCCAAGATCATCGAATACGACGACGAAGACGGTTCCGTGTCCCCGCAGAACGCCGCCATGATTGCGGCCTACTACAACATCTCGTACATCACCATGCAGACCTTCCTCCTGTCGCTGAGCGTGCGCACCAAGCTCAAGGGCATCCTCGAGATCGTCACGTCGGCCACGGAATTCGAGACGATTCAGATCCGCCGCCACGAGGAGGGCCTGCTGCGCCGCATCTACGACCGCGTCCCCGTCAAGATGTCGCAGCCGTCGTTCGACTCGCCCCACTTCAAGGCGTTCGTCCTGCTCCAGGCACACTTCTCCCGCATGCAGCTGCCTATTGATCTGTCCAAGGACCAGGAGGTGCTGCTGTCGCGCGTCCTCAGCCTGCTCAGCGCCGTGGTGGACATTCTGTCGTCCGACGGACATCTCAACGCCATGAACGCCATGGAGATGTCGCAGATGGTCGTCCAGGCCATGTGGGACAGGGACAGCCCGCTCAAGCAGATTCCTCACTTCTCGCCTGAAGTTGTGAAGGTGGCAAACGAATTCGAGTACGTGTCAACCCTGATCTCCTCTCCCTTGTTTATATATATACATATACTGACTCTCCCTCTCCTCGTGTAGGGTCAAGGACATCTTTGACTTCATGGAGGCCATGAATCCCGAGGAGAACCCCAACTACAATGCTCTGGTCAAGAAGCTCGGCCTGTCGCAGAACCAGCTCGCCCAGGCTGCCGAGTTCACAAACGACAAGTACCCCGACCTGGAGCTCGAGCATGAAGTCCTCGACACGGACGAGATCAGGGCAGGCGAGCCCGCTTACCTCAGCATCAAGATAACGCGCAACGTCGACGAAGACGAGGAGGGCGGCGGCGGCGAGCACGACTCCACAGTCCACGCGCCCTTCTACCCCAACCGCAAGATGGAGAACTGGTGGCTCGTTGTCGGTGACGAGAAGACCAAGAACCTCCTGGCCATCAAGCGCGTCACCATCGGCCGCGAGCTCAGCACGCGCCTCGAGTACACGGTACCCGCACCAGGCGACCACAGTCTCAAGCTGTTCCTCATGAGCGATAGCTACATCGGTGTCGATCAGGAGCGCGAGTTCTCGGTCACAGCAGCTGAGGGTATGGATGTCGATGAGGACGATGATGACGACGAGGACGAGGAGGAATAAGGGGAGATTGTCTGCCTCAATGTTTTTTTTTTCCCTTTCTGTCTATGTTGCAGCATGTATCAGTACGAAGAGGGTGGGTAAAAAGGGGTTAATCAAAACAAGCACTGTCACCTTGTCTCCTCTTTTTTTATATATACATCGTTTTAAAGAAATTAGGTCCATTTAGAGAAGATTCAATTCATAGAATGCGCGCCAACCGCTTCGGTCTCGAAATGTCGGTATGCCGAGTCGTATCCGTAACTTGCTTTCGCCTACTGCTCCTCGGTTTTATACGGACATGTGGATGAGCAGATTGGTTGGCATTGGTGCCGATCTTCACGATGATGATCAGTTGCAAGGAATGTCCGAGGATACCACTACGATACAGAAGCCCCTCCCATATTCGATTTAGTGCATAGAGCTCTGTGGTTGCATGCTGTACCCTGTGGATGGATGCATGTCGAGGAGGAGGAGTCGATCACGGCGAGTGGGTCACGTGACAGATCCCCAGTGACGTTGCAACGCCTCGAGCCGTCCCAAACGGGCAGCCATTCAGTATCCGCCCTTTCTCTGTCCTCGCTCCAGTGTTTTTTTTTTCCCTTCGTCACCTACTGCACTCCCTTCACCCCAGCCCCCCTCTCCGACACGACACGCGAATCGAACCGAGTCGGTTGTGAGCGAAACCGATTTCTCATCCTGAACAGTACCACTGCGCATATCGCCTCCGCGCCCACCGAACGTGCACTGAGAAGGCAAACACGCGACCCAACGCGTTCCTGCCCGCTACCCATCGTGTGGTGATCCTGATTACTTTGCGCCGAAGCGCCAAATCTCCTCTGCTGCACACCTGAAGACCAGCGCCATGCCCGATCAGCCCACCGAGAAGACCGACGTCGCTGCGCCCGCGACCGAGGGCCAGGAAACTTTGACGGCTGAATTGAACTCCAAGGAGGAGACCAAGACTGAGGGTAAGAATGGTACAACTAGCTTCGAGACGCGATGGGAGAGGTGCAACGTAAACTTGCCACGACTTGCACCTCGCTCTACATCGGACTTGCGTTTGCTTTTGGTTCTTGATGCGCGGCGCGATTGACGACGCCTGTTGCTATGCGACGCGTCTCTGCCGCAATTCGTTTTTTCTTTTTCTTTTTCCCCTCCCGAGTCAGGGTCAAGCTAATACCGTGTCGCGCATCTTGCAGAGCCTGCCTCCACCGAGGACAAGACCGAGGACAAGACCGAGGACAAGATCGAGGACAAAAAGGACGAGGCGACCGAGGATAAGGCTGCCGCCGAAGGTGACTCGGAGATGCCTGATGCGCCCGATGCCTCGGCCGTCGATGCCGATCAGTCGACCACGGCCGACAAGACACCCGCCAGCAGCAAGGCGCAGCAGAACCGACGCAAGTCGGGAGGGGCGGCTCGCAAGACGCCGAACAAGAAGGCGTCCAAGGCCAAGACGACGAATCTCGACGCGAAGCCCGGCGATTACTTCCTCGTCAAGCTCAAGGGCTTTCCTGAGTGGCCCGCCGTCGTGTGCGACGAGTCCATGCTGCCCCAGGCGCTGCTGACGACGCGACCTGTGACGGCCGCCAAGCCCGACGGAACCTACGCGGAGCAATACGCCGACGGTGGCAAGCGTGTCTCCGACAGGAACTTTCCCGTCATGTACCTGCACACGAATGAGTTGTAAGTCTTTCCCGCCACGGAGACGGGAGGAGAGAGAGGGAGAAGGGTCGAAGTTTGGCTGACAAGCGCCATTCGTCCATCAGTGGCTGGGTCATCAACACAGCCCTCACAGCCTTGACAGTGGAGGGTGCCAAGAAGGCCCTGGATGGGAAGCTTCGCAAGGATCTCAGGGAAGCGTTCGAGCTCGCTGCCGAGCACCATCCCCTCGACCACTACAAGGATCTGCTCAAGAAGTTCGAGGAAGAGGTGATTGCCAGGGAAAAGGCTCTGCAGGAGGCGGCCGCCACACCCAAGAAGAGCAAGAAAGCCAGGGGCAAAGCCGGTGACGACGACGAAGACACCGACATGGCGGATGCCGAGGTCCCCAAGAGCAAGAGCAAGAAACGCAAGGCAGATGACGAGGCGGCGGTAAGTAGCCCGAATGGGAGATTGGATGGAAAATCTCGTCTCGATGGAAGATGGACGGCTGACGTGAAGTGCTCTGCTCCAGACGCCTCAGCGGACCGACTCTGCCAAGAAGCCCAAGATCAAGCTGAACACATCGTCCACGCCGAAAAATACCAACGGAACGCCGTCGCAGGCCAAGGACGCCTCGGGCAAGGCCAAGCCCAAGGCGAAGAAGGCGGAGAAGAACGAGAAGCTGACGGCCGAGGAGCGTCTTGCCCGCAAAGAGGTACGTGTGGGACGCATCTGAGTCTTGCCAGGTAGTGGTCTAACTCGACGACTTGTCGTCTTACAGAAGGAAGTGCTCTACCTCCGCTACAAGCTCCAGCGCGGGCTCCTGAACAAGGACCAGTCTCCCAAGGAGGATGAGATGAAGCAGATGGCCGACTACATGACGATGCTCGAGAGCGTGGGCGACCAGCTCGAGGTGTCCATCATCCGGGCTACCAGGATCAACAAGGTGCTCAAGCAGATCCTCAAGCTGTCAAGCATCCCGCGCGAAGAGGAATTCAACTTCAGGAGCCGATCTCAGAAGCTCCTGGACAGCTGGAACCGGGTCATGTCGGAGCCGCCGGCCAAGGATGCCGACGCCAAGGACTCCGCTGCTGCCAACGGCGTCACCAACGGCTCGGCCGAGGACGCGGAGGACAAGCGGGCGACCCCCGACGAAGCCGACGGCAAGGCTGAGATGAAGGAAGAGACCGAAGCTGAAGAGACCAAGGAAGACAGCAAGTCTGACGACAAGGCTAGCGAACCTGAGGGGAAGGCTGAGGAGCTCACCAAGGAGGTAAGGCCTTTCCGATGCTCCTCCCTCTTTTTCAGCTCCCCGCTCTGATATGCCAGAATGCTAACCTTTCTCCCTTCTTCTCCCTTCTCCCCGACAGGCAAACGGAGCTGAGGCTGTCGAGGCCGCCGCCTAGAGACACTACCGATTTCCCGAACCTATAGAAGAAGACAAAAGACTACGTGGTCGAATTCCAAATAGCGCGCGCGATCAGAGATAAAAGAACAAACAGACAAAAAAAAAAAGCCCGGTCTATTCCACAACTCATGTTCTTTTTTTCCATCTTTTTCTTTTACACAAATATCTGCTATTACAAAATTTGTTTTATCCACTTGGCGTCAAGGTTGAGGAAGTATTTGGATCTGTTCCCTGTTTTTATCTCATTATTTATTTTCCTCCGAGACAAGGGCAAACTCTAATGACTGGTTGGTATACGAGTCAACTCTTGATTTTACACCATCTTATTTCGTCCCCCCCCCCTCCTCTCTGTCGGCTCTCTTCTCTTGTTCCCCTCCACCTCGGACGTCATGATCAACGACAGAGCTATACCGTTTCGGTCCTTGTCTTGCCTGCTGGGTCTTTATCGATGCCGCAACTACTAGGTTGGGCTAGGGAAGGATACGAGGGAGGGAGGTGGATTCTCGTTTCGTGTGTGGCGGGCATAGCTGTCTGTTTTATCGGTCGTTTCCCCTGCCTTCTATTGTTCGGTTATGCTGAGGTCTTCATATGGTTCTCTCGAAAATTCTGTCTATACATGCTGGGAAATCGATCAATGGTACGGAGAAGCAGTCGAAGGAGAAGTCTGACGGGGTCGGGCCAGGACAGGTCAAAGGGCACAGAAAGCGATTGGAGGGACGAAGGGGGGGGGGGCCTCCGAGAGGAAAGTAAAAAGGAAGACATGTGTGAGGGGCAGATGATGGAGAAGATGAAAGGATACGATGGAGGGGTGTATATTTCTAGTCAGTCTCATGTCATCATTAACGAGGATTCCCTTTCTTTTTTTTTTGCGATATTCAACTTTCTTCTTTCTCTCTCTTGGGATCTCACCTTTCCTTCATGACCAAGATGGAGAATGGCCAGCTGGTAAGAATTCACCTATGTCATACAGTGTCGATATACAGTGTTAGAAGAGGGAGATGAGTGCCTGGTTACAGTGTGAATACAGTGTATAAAACGCGGTTGCGACGACGCGTCTCCCCTTATCCCTCTGAAGCCGTCAAACTCGACCAAACGACTGCCAATCAATCATCCGACCCGGACAGTCTCATCATGGCCAGCGTAGCAACAGAGACAGTCAGACCGTTCAAGCCGGAAGATCATTCGGTAAGACTCGAGGCTCGATGCTTTTTCTGCTCTTACGCCCATTCAAGGGAGCTAACCTCTGCCTTCTCCTAGGCTGCCTACATTTTTGACCCTGATGATGAGAGCGACAATGAGCGAGGCAGTCACAACCAGCAGCAGCCGCCGCAGCAGCAGCCGCAGCAGAGGCCAACCAAACGTCGTCGGGTATCTGCCAAGCAATCCGGGCAGACGGATGATGGGCAGCAGCAGGGCGAACCCATCTTTGTGCCGCTGCTGAATGGCGCCGAGAAGCCAGAGTATGTGAAGCTGCGTGAGAAGCTATACCGGGAAAGCTGGGCCGCCATCGAGGAGCGCATACAGGTGAGCACAACTCATGAGCAGTGGGCTCTCATTCTCTCTCCCCCTCTCTCGTGCCATCCCCATCTTCTTCTCGCTGCCAGTCCTAACTTTCCGAGAATAGAATGCACTGAGGGAATCCAATTCAGCCACATTAGAACAGGTCACATCGTTCGTGGGCGATGCCCAATCGGTCTCGTACGCACATGGTCATGCCCCTTGAATCACGGCTGGACGGAAGGAAGGAGAAACATCATCTATCTCGAGAGACTGACCAACCAAACCCCCCCCTCCCCCCAAAAAAAAGCAGAAACGGCAAGATCCCGTGCGCCTTCATCACGACGGGCACGAATATCGACTCGCAGAATCTCCTGTTCGACCAGCTGGCAGAGTACCTGCAAAAGTCGCCGCACACCCGGCTCGTCAGGTTGCGGTCCTCGGAGGCCACGTCGCTCAAGGCCACGTTGAAAAAGGTGATTCGCGACGCGACGAACACGTCGTCGTCCCCGGAGCAGCAGACTGACGAGGATGACGATGACCTGCAAATGTCCGGTGGGGACGGGAATGGACAGCACGGCCGTCGTCGGTTCCTAGACTACGACCTCGAAGCGCTGCATTTCTCTGCAAAGACGCAGGGGGCGGAGCATGTGTTTGTGGCCTTTGAGGACAGCGAGGGGTTTGACAGTGCACTGCTGTCGGATCTCGTCTCTCTGTTTAAGTAGGTATCTTCATCACCAACCACCGACCAATCAACCCTCCCTCCCTCCCCTCCCCTCCCCTCCATTCCTATCGACTACTCATTCAAACGGGAGGTTGGGGGCAAAAGAGGCAAAATAAATCAAAAATGAAAGAAAAAGAAAAAATAAATAAACAAAGACGGCAAAAAAAAAAAAGGGAAAAAAAAAAGTAAAGAGAAAGAAAGACTGACAGGTTCTGACATCCTTTCTCTGATAGCTCCTGGCGTCCTCGCATACCATTTACGCTGCTCTTTGGTGTGGCTACGTCGGTCGAACTCCTCCAGGCACGACTGCTCAAGTCTGCCTGTCAGAAGATTTACGGGGCACAGTTTGACGCTGTGCAGTCGGACTCGATCCTGGAAGCCGTCTTCAGGATTGCCGTTGCTGCCCAAGATGTGCCGGTACGCATAGGCGGGGCTCTGCTGCACAGCATGCTCCAACGTCAGCATGAGCAAGTAGCCGGTATACAGGCCTTTATCTCATCTCTCAAGGTATGCATGCATCTCGCGGCCTCGGCCTATCACCATAACTGCATAAAATGTAGAAGAAGAGGGGGGAGATGAAAGAAGGGGGGGGTGGGGAAAGAAAATGAAAAAAAGAGAATGAGGAAGAAGATGAGGAAAAAAAAAAGGGGGGGGGGCATATATGTTCCTCATCCACATGGTCCAAGGCTTGGCTACGGGCAAGTAATACATGTACGAGTATTTGCGGTGGGGGGGGGAGGGGAGAAGAGGGTGACACACCAACTGACCCCCCTTGTGTTGCAGTATGCATACATGTGCCATTTCTACGCAAATGCGCTGAGCACGGTTCCGTACAATGTCGATCACGGTCTGGCGCAGTTCCAGCCCGAGCATGTGGAGGCCATCCGCAACACCGCATCCTATCAGGGTCGGATCGAGCAGATGATGGAGGACGCCGAGGAGGCAGGTGTGGAGGATGTTGTGGGTCACCTAGAGAGGATCGAGTCGAGCATTCTGGAATACGGCGAGGAAGACGGCAGCCGGGAGGATGGCGAGGGAGGTTCACGGCCAGGCGCGGCGGGGAGGCGTCGGTGGGTGAGCTCGGCTCTGCGGACGCTGCTGGTGCTGCAGGCGGCCGGGGCGCTCAGGGGGGAGGACTTTCCGTCGTCGTACGCCGACGCCATGACGGGTGGGATCGTGGTCTCGGAGTCATCAGCGCTAGCGGAACGAGTGCGACGGATGGATGACGAGGTGCTGGGGCGATTCCTGGACCGGGCGGCCCACATCTACGGATCCGGCGATGCAAGTCTGGGACTAGGGCCGTCGGTGGAGCCCGAGCACGAGGAGCTGCGAACGGCGCTGCATGAGCTGGCAAGGGACCTGAGTAGTCTGCAGGCAGACGTGACGGCCAAGGCGAAAGCAGCAGGAGCAGCGGCAGCGTCGACGGGGGCAGACGGGGAGGGCACAGAAGGTGCAGCGGCGAAGACGGCGACCTCTACTGGTGCTGGTGCTGGTGCCGGTGCCGGTGCCGGTGCTGGTGCTGGTGCTGGTGCTGCTGCTACGCCGCTTCGAAGCAAGTACGTGGTGCAGCAAAACAAGATTATGCGAACGACGGTGATCGCGCAGCGCGTACAGCTGAGCAAGGACTCGGCGGCTCTGAGTGAGGCGGACAAGGCCTTTACGGCGATGGTGGACAGGACGACGCGGCTGCTGGCGGAGCGCCTGGGCGTCGGGGCGCCGCAGGACGTGTTCCTGTCCGAGTCGTGGATGTACGATTGCAGGTGGCCGTCCAGAGAGGTGCTGGTGCCCCGGCCGCTGGTGGTGTTTGAGAGGGCACTCATCCGACCGCAGGATTACCTAGGGTGCGCATGCTGCAGCGGGGAGGAGGGTGGTGGTAGCGGTGGTGTTGAGCTGAAGGCGACGATGCCGGCCACGTCGATACTGTACCACCTCTACCTCGAGACCGGCAACCTGATAAACGTGGCGGATCTCTGGGATGCCTTTTACGGGGTAGTTAGGCAGCAAGGAGAGCAGGATCGGGGGGGGGGGGAGAAGGAGGGTGGTAATGGTGGTAATGGTGGCGGTGGTGGTGGTGGTGGTGGTGACAACGACGACGGCAACGACGACGACGACGACGACGACGACGACGAACGCAGAGTGCTGGTGCTCTTCTACCGAGCACTAGCTGAGCTCCGGTCTCTCGGGTTCGTCAAGGCCAGTAAGAAGAAGGTGGACCACGTTGCCAAACTAAAGTGGCTCTGAAGAATTGGTGGGGGGGAGGGGGGGAGGAGTAGAAGGAGAAGAGGGTGGAGGGATGTGGAGAAGGGAAAAGAAGTACGGAGTGCATGTAGCGGTAGCGGTAGCACTACTAAACGAGTAGTCAGACAGTATGGTGCAGAATACGGAGTATCTCGGTCGGAACGATGTGAGATACTACACGTAGCAGCGGCAGCAGCAGCAGCAGCAGCAGCAGCGATGGTTGTATCATCATCGTATGCTAGCGGTGTTACAGAGTCTTGGATGGTGGTGGTGTGACTAGGTGGTATGGCTAGGTGGTGATGGGTATTACCGTCAGCAGTATACTGTGTATCAGACTATCGGTACACGTCTCTATCCAGATGATGATGAATAAGGTGAAATCGATGGCCATGGCGAAAGAGACGCCGCAGCCGGCGATATGAAGGGTCTTGATCGAGACTGACTTGGGGGTTTGAGTTGCGTGTGGAGTGTGAGTGAGTGAGTGTGTGTGTGTGTGTGTGTGTGTGAGATGGTCCCCCGTTTTCATCCAAGAGAAAAAGGGGGGGGAGGGGGGGAGAATTTTTTTTATATTTTTTTATATTTTTTTTTAAAAAAAAAAGAGGACCATCTGGATTGATTGATGGAATAGGAGGGGGGGGGTAACATGTGCTGTGTCAATGGGGAAGACGTATGAATCAATGTGGGCAGTAGAGGGGGAAAAAATGAAGTCAATCAAAAAATAAAGAAAAGGAGAGACATTTCTAGCCTAGAACAGAAGGCATATCCGGGCGCGGAACAGAGGAATAGTACAGCGTAGTGATACAGCTTACATGATACCTGCCACTGGTTCGGTATCTACTTCACTCGCATATTACTCGTATATACAGTAATATATATGATGATATGTATCATCATGTAGGAGCGGGGAGAGAAATATAACGGAAATAGATGACGATGCTGTGACAGCAAATGAAGATGATGGAGATGACGATGATGATGATGATACCGATAAGTAAGAAGAAGAAGAAGAAGAAGAAGAAGACGAAGACGACGACGACGACGACGACGAAGCGAAGCGATGAGCCAGAAAAAAAAAGAAGAAAGACCGAGATGAGGCTTCGGTATAGATGAAAGGAACAAGACAATAAGACATGCAGGATGCACGCACCACGAGACCAGGACCAACCCGGTAGACTGTACGGAATACATCTTCGCGAGTATTACTACGTATATAGGAAGGAGCAGCAGCAGCAGCAGCAGCAGCAGCAGCAGCAAAATGGCATGGGGAAGTTTGAAGCGAGATGGGAAAGGAACTAGCCGAGGAGGGGGAGGGGGAGGGGGTGTGCGTAATGAGTCGTAAGATACATCAGAGACGGGGGATTCTATCCACGAACCATCAGAAGCGGTTGACTCTGCTGCAGGTGGGTTATTGGTCGGGATGTTATATACGTATATATATATATATATATATACGCATATAGGCAAAGGTGGAATATAAGCAGATGTACATATAGATATACATGTATAGATATACATGTATAGATATACATATAAACAGGTGTACATGTAAATAGATGTACATATATATAGATATGCATATATAGATATGCATATACATATATATATATATATATATATATATAAGCAGATGTACATGTAAACAGATATACATATAGATGGTATATACGTATATATATATATATATATATATAATACACAGGGTACAAAACATAGCATGACAATCCCGCTGTAGGTGACTAGGCCTGACGGGCTGTGTGGGGAGGGAGGGATAAATGTTCATGACGTCGTATCAGTTTAGAACGGGAAGGAGAAAATTCTGAAGAAGAAATAATTGACAGTTGACAGGGTCAAGGGGGAGGGGGCAAACGGAGAGATTCCACTTCTGTCGGATGGCCGTTCTCGAACCGTACCTTTTTTTTTTTTTTTTTT